GCCACGGACTTCTCATTGGTGCTCAGGCTGTGTTTTAGGAGGGTCTGAGGTCTGTGGACACACATGCTCTTCATCCTTGACAAGAGGTTTCTGTCTTCCTAGCGTTATATCACCAACACCGTGTGATGATCGAGCTGCTCCTTAGGCCAAAATAAAGGAGTTTTCACTTTGAACATTTTCATGTAAAAACTTGGTTATCAGTAAAAAGATTTGTCTTTTTTCCTATGCAGGCAATAATTCTCAACGATTTTGTGTCTTTTGAAAGTATTTCATAGGTTAAAGATGAAACATACTTTTGGGGGCCAGCCTGTCATTTCAGTTAGGGAGAATTAATTTAAAATTGTGGATAATTGAGCATGTGAAGCTGATGTTTCATGACCTGCTCTGTGTTTTGTCTAGACCAGCATGTTTTGGAAGTTCGACCTGCACTCGTCATCCCACATAGACACGCTTCTAGAACGAGAGGATGTGACGCTGAAGGAGCTGATGGATGAGGAGGACGTCCTGCAGGAATGCAAAGCGCAGAACCGAAAACTTATAGAGTTTTTGTTAAAAGCAGAATGCCTCGAAGATTTAGTCTCATTCATTATAGAAGAGCCACCTCAAGACATGGATGAAAAGATCAGATACAAGTAAGAGCTTGTCCTCCGTGTGCAGACGGGATCGGCCCCAGAGTGTTGCTGGCTAGGTCTTGCTTGACACTGGCATAGCTGAGTTTACGTAGATAACTCTGTGGAGAGCTCACCTAGGAGTAAGCCCTTGTCGCTGGTCCAGCCTGCTCACAGGCAGAGCGTCCGTGAAGGGAGACCACTCACTTCATCACTGCCTCTCACTGGCTCAAACGCTCCAAGCAGCAAGCCATTGACTGTACATTTACTGGAATCAGTTACAGCACTGAGTACACTGAGAAGTGAACTAGGAAGAACTGTGATTTTTGGCAGCCTCTCTTCCCCTTTCTCTCCCCTTTGCTGCGTTTCGGAAATCTCTTCATTTCTCGGGAGACTTTTGCTACCTGAGAAAGAGACTTTACTAGTGATTTCAGGTTGTTGTGCTTGTATTTTCAAGGATGCTGAGTTCCTTGCCAGGCTTTCTAATTGACAGCTGGCAGTCAGTGAAAGCTTCAGTTCTGAGGTCAGTGCTCAAGGAGAAAGATGTTTGCAGTCAAATAGTAACATGAGTTAGAAAGCAGAAGTCCTGCCTTGGGCCTCCTCTTCCAGCACAGGCTGGCCTCTTGATGGGGCTGGCTCTGTTGGAAGACACGTGCTAACAGTCCAGGGTTGTGAGCTTTGAGCAGCTGACCTGTCAGGACCACATAGGCTTAGAGAATGGGGCCAGTTAGCACCTTGGGCCTCTGTCCTCATATGCAAGGAGAAGTAATTGCTTTAGCTGGTGAAGAGTGGACACAAGATACCTAATGTGCTCACATTATCAAAAAGAGGTGTTGGACAGGGCTTTGAGTCGCCTGTGGCGGTGCAGGAGCCGATGGAACTCATTAGGTACAGAGCCCTCAGTGAATTCAGTTTTGAGGGACATGTCTTGAGTTGGCCAGAGGCCTTCTCTGCAGCGCCTGCAACTCGGACAGATTCTGACTGTGCAGTGCTCCCATGGGGGTGGGTTTCAGATGGAACCCGAAGGTGTTTAGCCTGATCCTTTCTGAAGTTTGCTGCCTGCTGTGAACTTGATGGCTGCATGCACCTGTGGATTGGACCCTGGATGGTCTTAACTGAATTTTCAATGACCAAGGATTAGAGAGTTACCATTTTTACTAGACTTCTAACAAGTAGGACATAGATTAGTAAGAATCAAAACCCCAAGACTTGCAGAGGGCACAGTAGTGAGTGTGAGCGCAGCCGAGGCCAGGGTGGTGCGGCTGTGGCAGGCAGGGGTGCCATCTGTTGTCTGGAGGGTCACTGCGGGTCCTGCTTGACCTGATGGCAGCAGACACTATCATCCTGGAGGAGGTAACAGACCAGGAGGCGTTTACAAGACAGTCACTGATATGATACCTGTATTTTAGCGCTTTGTGTGTACCAGACACTGTCTTTCTGTCCAGTAGTGTGGACTGGCTGAGTGAGTCTCCTGTCTGTCAAGTGAGCCCTCCAGAGGGACTCTGAAAGTGTGAGGTGGAAGGCTACAGTCAAGGCAGGGTCACTAAGAAGGCTTTACTGGTCCAGGGGGTTGCAGGGAGTGAGGGTATATGCTGTGTCATGTGTGGATGGAGCGGCAAGTGCTGTGTGCTTGGAATCTTCAGAAAATCGTGGGGTAGGTAGGCAGGCAGTGGTGTAGGTGGTGGACATTGGAGGATGAGAGCAGAAGGTGTGGGGTCACGTGCTCTGGTCATGACTTGACTCTGATCTGATGAGACAGGAAGCTGTTGAGTAGTGGCAGCCATGGTCACTGTGCCTGTCATGTTGATGGCAGTCCGCAGAGGATAGGATCACTCGTAGGTAGCCAGGCAGGAGGCTTCACTGAACAGCAGAAGGAGAGAAAATCTTAGGGGACCTCACTGGTGGCAAGAAATGGTGGGTGCAGTTAGAATTCAAAGGATTACATAATCAAAGATTATAATCAAAGACTAGAAAGAGACGGAGGTGAAGTCACTTAGAGATAAAGATTTCACCTTGGGAAATGCCTCATGTGCTTGTTGATGCCAGCAAATCCCGGCAAATTCCAGGCTGATCCAGACGCGTGATCTCAGTAGAGCAAAAGGCTTTTTTCAGCACAGGATCCACCTTGGAGGAAACTCCCTTGGCTGATAGGCTGTCTAGAGCAGATCTCGTCGTGGAGACCTCAGATCCTGTCATAACAGAGTGTCACGGGCAGCCAGATTGACACACAGCTGTAACTGTCCAGGGGCCTTGGATGGCACTGGGAAGGTGGAAGTCACATTGATCTAATTTGAGATGTTCGTCCCGGTCTGTAGCAGGGAGACAAGTGGTAGGAGTCGGGAGAAGGAGAAGGAGGATGCAGGAGGTGAGTGGGTCCTCTGATTGTAGAGAGCCCGGCCTGTGCGTATGCTCATGGGAGCACTGCAGGACAGGGGGACATGGTGTGGGGAGGACAGTGCCTTGGGAACAGGAAGTGCTGGAGCGGGTGAGAGGATGGCAGCGAGAGCGTAGAGTGGTGGTCTTGGGAGCAAGGATAGCTCACGGGTGGCAGGGAAGAATGGGCCAGGTGTAGGAGGGTTGGGTTTTCATCTCTGTGCCCTGTTCTCTGGGCAGAGGTCGGAGCGAAAGGGAGCTGGCAGAGGGGGCGTGGAGGGGACTACTCAAGAGGGGGGAGCGAGCAGTCCTAGCGTGCCTGGAAGCAGAACTTGAGGTCTGTTAGGTAGTGAATCCCACAGTCCCCTGTGGGCCCTCCCAGATCAGCTGTGTCCACACAGAACTGCAGCCAGCGTGTCATGGGCAACCAGGACTGAGATTGGCCCTATTGCCTAATCTTTCCTTTGGCCGAAGTGTTAACATGTGCCCCATCACAGCAGCATGTGTACAGTTCTGTAGTAGAAAACCGGAGGAGGAGCAGCTGGCACGTGTGCAGGCCTGTCCCAGTGTTTGGTGCGTGTTCCCTGTCCAGGATGGGCCTGGTGTCCTACACAGTCCCAGAGAGGTGAAGTAACATGCCCAGGGTGGTGCCCGTTGTACCACATTTTTAACTAAGAGGCCTGTTGTAGGGTTGGAGGTGTTTATTTTTCCTTCTACAATCCAGGCTGCCCACCCCTCAAGCGTCTCTCTGTGAGCAGTGCACATGTTTTATATATGGGCACTTGTGAGCAAATTCATAAGCGGGTTGTAACACATTTGCCGGAGGCAGGCTTTGAACCTGGGTGGTGTGGCCCTGGAAGCTGCACCTCTGTGCTCTTGTGTCCCACTAGCGAGGGCCTCTTTCTTCATTGAGCCACAGACCAGTAGAAGAAAGCTACGCGACAGTGTGGCCTGCGCACCACACTGTCAGTGCTGTTGATCCTGTGCCTCCTACACAGGTTCATCATGGGACGTTCTCACTCCAGATACTTAGACGTTGTGACTTCCTGGTTGGTTGCCAGTCACCACGTCGTGTCAGAGCAGGGAGGTCTGACCACACCGTACCCGGCACCGGTCACGTAGGCTGTTTTTTCACCTCCCTGTCTAGTCTGCATTGGAGCTTGCCACTTGTGAAGGCTGTTTGGGATTCAGGCCCTGGCTTCCTGGACTAGGGGAGCCGAGAAGTGCTGGTGGTCAGGTAGAGAGAGTAGGCTGATGGCTTGCAGTCCTTGATTTCTGTTGAAATCAGAGAAGTCTTTTCAGGAAGAGGGTCCGCCCTGTTTTCAGGAGGGATGGACTCTGCTGCTAGGAGGGGGCGGGTAGGTCGAAAGCTGCAGAGCCCAGAGCAGGTGTTACACTGCATCCTAAGGACCACAGTCCTGCTGGAGTGGACCCTTGGGAGATGACTGGGGTGCCGCCTGTATGTCTTCCCTGACCCCAAAGACCTGGAAAGGCTATGTGCCTGCACCTTGTGCCTGTTCTCTACTTCAGTGTATAGTTGGGTGGTAAGGTGTCAGAGAGATTGACTGAAGACCAACTCCACAGCCGTTGAGTCACAGTCCTGCTGCATGAGACCCTCCGCCATTGTGCTTCTGAGGCTATGAAGCTTTTATAAGGGAACAGTGGCCTTCCTTCGCCCTCTGAGTGGCCTTTCAGTTAACTGCTGAACGCTGTGCCACCAGATTTCCTGGACCATTTGATAAGCCCTCCCAAGCAATGCAGAGTGCTGCTGGCATTCCGTCTAAAAGGAGGAGGCTCTGTGGTGCTGTGTGCTGTTCAGGGCCTGTGAGTAATGCAGCCCCAGCATCACCCCCTCCATCACTGCCCCACAGCTTGGCTCCCCCCACTCCTGAGCCCTTGTACTCTCTAGTTGTATTGGGGAAACATACACATGTTTTTGACGTGTTAAACATTTCCTTTTGGTCTGAACAGAATGCGTTGAAATGCCGTTCTAGTATCCAGAAGAGGATTTTGTTATTTTACATTTCCGGTAGTCTTCCTGATGTGTATTTTAATCTTGCTGTGACGGTGACGATGGATGTTGATGTCAGGATCCTCTTCTCCTAGGTACCCAAATATATCGTGTGAGCTGCTCACCTCCGATGTCTCCCAGATGAACGATAGACTGGGAGAAGATGAGGCCTTGCTGATGAAGTTGTATAGTTTCCTCCTCAATGATTCCCCCTTGAACCCACTGCTTGCCAGTTTCTTCAGCAAGGTGCTAAGTATTCTAATCAGCAGAAAACCAGAACAGGTAAATATACATCTCCAGAAGGTAAGTATTAGGGCTGATTACCTCTGAGATGTCCCCCAGAAAGTTGGTCCTGATGTCACTGTAAGTTCAGAGGTCATAATAAGATACACTTTCAGCTGGACTGTTGTGAGCACGCAGCGATGTCCCTCCCCATGAGTGAGGAAGTGTGCTCTCCATTGGCGTACTTGCTGGCACACCTGCTCACACCCCCGCCTCTTGTCATGCTGGGTACTGTTTCTCTTTCTCAAGTAGAGCTATGAGTCCCAAGGGAACCCATTTGGTAGTTAAGCAGTTCGTGGGTGTGTGAGTGGGGCCTTGTTGTTAGAAGCTGTGGAGTTGAGGACAACTCATGGCGACCCTATGAACCTCCTGTCCTGTTCTGTGCCATCCTCACTATCTCTGATATAGTTAGACTCATTGTCGCAGTCACTGCACCAGTCTACCTTGACCGGTGTCTTCCTCTTCTGCTGACTCTGCACCCTTCCGAGCATGATATCCTTCACCACAGAACAGCCTCCGTGGGAGTAGGAGAGATGAAGCTTTGTCATCCTTGCCTCCAAGGAGTACTCCAGCTGTCCCTTTCCCGAGACCGGCCTGGTTGTTCTTGGAATCCATGAGATACTTAGTACTCTTCTCCAAGACCACAACTCAAAGGTGTCAGTTCTTCTTCTGTCATCCGTAGTTATCATCCAGCTCTCACATGCATAGTGAGTAATTGAAAAGACCGTGACCTGAACCAGGTGCACGTTAGTCTTTAAACTTATGGCTCTTCAGTTTTTTGGAGAGATCCTGACAGCAGACTTGCCTAAATCATTGTTTCTCTTTATCTCCTGATTGCTGGTACCAAGTAGTTGATTTTGGATCCAAGCAGATGAAATCATTAACAGTTTTAAACTTTTTTCCATCTATCACGATGTTGCCTTACTAGACCAGTGGCGAGTACCATTGTCTCTAGATGTTAAGATGCAGTCCTATTGAAGGCTGCAGCCTTTGATCTGCTGCATGCAAAATCTATACCTAGACAAGGAGCTGCTATCCAAATGGAACAAAGAAACGCTGTATGATTTAAAACAGAGAATGATGTGCCTCCAGGTTATAGCCTTTCTCAATTCCTGTTCAGTCTGTATGATGAACTGATTGTGAAGCTGGACTGTAAAGAAGAATGCAACATGAGGATCGGAGGAAGACCCATCAACAGCCTGTGCTATGCAGATGACACGACCTCGCTTGCTGAGAGCACAGAGGATCTGAAGCACTTGGTGCAGAAGATCAAAGACTAGTGGGGTCTTTAATCTAGTAACAGGGTTTTCCCCTGCCCCCTAATCATAATAGAGCTTAAATGAGAAAAAGTTTTCCCATAAATTTAACCAGAGTGACTGGTTTATACAAGTGATGATCATTTGTTCGTATCCATCTGTAGATAGTACATCTGAGTGCAGCCTGTTGGGCACATTTCTGCTGTTTGTGTCCTATAGTGCTGGACATGTGACTTTATGATCACTCTCTGTCACTGTAGGGCATAACCATATTTTTCTCCTCTTAGCTCAGATGTTCTTGGGTCATTTATTAACCAAGCATCTGTGGTGTGTGCAGTGGCTTTCAGATAGTCCCTGCCCTAGGAGCCCTGGCATCACTTAAGAGTTTGTTAGGAACACAGGTTCTTGGATCACAGATGAACCAAATCAGAGACTGGTAGGTCTAGGGCAGCGCTGACAGTCTGGGCCGTGCACAAGCTTTCGGGTGATTCTGGTGCATCTGGAAACGAGAGAACCATGGCTCTTGGTGTGGACAGGACCCACTTGCCTGGAAATGAGAATCCATTCCTGGGGATAGGCACCTCGGGGACAGTCACAGAGCCTTGGCTGGTTTAAGTGCAGACTCTGGCAGCCTTGCTCAGCTGCAGCAAGCCATCTGTGATGAGGGTGGGTGGGCTGCAGCCACCACTTCCAACTCTACTTTCAGCAGATGAGGAGGTCTTGCAGCTGTTTTAGGCCCAGTATATTTTAGCTAAGGAACCTGTGGCCTGGTGACTCAGGTAGTTAGTTGGCTGTTAACTGAAAGGTTAGTGGTTCAAAGTTACTAGCCATTACACAGAATAAGATGTGTCATTCTGCTTGGAAACCCTGTGAAACAGGTGTATTGACCCGCGGGCTTGTTGAGTTAAACTTGACTGGATGGCAGTGGCTTTGGGCTCTTTCGTGTGATCTGTCCTGTGCTGAGGCAGAGCAGTTAGGAGTTTGGATTGCCAGAGACTTGTATTGTTCTTTGTACCGACAATTGAGCAGAATCACCTTCCTACAAGGATTTTGGAAATAAGTGGCCTTTTAAAGGTAATAATCCAGAAATCGTGCTTGCTATGAAATGATCTTCTCCTGTCTTGCTCCTGAACGTGCTGACTGTTGAGAACTGGGGACCCTGTCTCAGGCACACGCTGTGCACTAGCCAGGGCTCCCTAGTGGCAGTTCTTACCCTCCTTGCACAAGAGATGAAGGTCTGAGAGCTCTTAGGATGCTTCGTGGGTCGGGAGCACTCGTACGGCACCTCATGACCAGGTGTTACCTGTGCGAGCATAATGGCAGGTGCCAGTTAAAGGGAGCAAGTGACCAGCCTCTGCAGCTCCCGAGTTTCTTGGACCAGGATTCCTGGGCTGATAATGGGATGCAGCTTACTCTTTCAGCTCAAAGCTGGAAGCTCTGACCATCTCTGTTACCTGATGTGTACATGTCGGAATGTAATTCCGACTCAGTTTCTCCTAACTGGTTAGGATGTGTGTTAGCTCGGGGCACCAGTCCAACTTGGAGACGTCTCTAATGTTAGTGATGCTAGCGATACAAGTGCTTCTGTCCTTGTGTGTCCACTGGTGCGTGGCCTGTCAGACTCAGGTCCATTGCCTCGGCCAGAGGATCATAGTGAAGGCTGGCCATGTGTGACCTTGTTCCTCCTCTCAGCTCTGCTTGCACTCCCGTGTGACTCATCCCTGGTTAGATGAAGTGTGCATACCGTAGTGAAGGCATGTGTTGGGAGTCTTAACCTCGTGGTCTGTCACAGTCACTGTGTGTAAGCAGTGCTAGTTGTCATTGCTGGTGGTGGAGTTTCCTCCGTAGGATCTTGGCTGCTAGGTGTGTGCACATCTCACTACAGCTCCTCGTCAGCTCGGGGCCTGTTAGAACCTCACCTTTCCTTCCCTATGCTGTAGGCTTACTGCACTTCGCTCACCAGGTGGTTGAGATTTCAGTAGGTTCCGGTGGAGCAGCTGCCACCTTGGCTACACTGTCCCTGGGGCCTTGGGGCGGGTTTGGAGTAGATGACATAGCACACAGAATGCACAGCGTCCAGGGGCTGCAGGACAGTGCAGGATCCTCTTCTTCAGGGCCCTGGGGACAGTCATAGGGCCACCACCAGCCCCAGATACCCTGTGGGCATCATCCAGCCTCCTTGTGCTAATTCACTAAGGGACTGACCATCCCAAAACTTGAGGTGGATATTTGCAGAGCAAGTATGTTAGCTACCCCAAAGGAGAACAAGTGTTGACGTCCTGAATATTTTTTCTGTTACTTGCCAGGATATGTAAGTAAGACTTTTAAAAAGTCCATGTATTAACTTGACATTCTTATGTAGCCATTGATCGAGTCTTTGAGAATGAAAAGGAATTGTGGCCGTTGTGAGGTGTTATGGGGTTGACTGTACTCATAGTGACCCTGTGAACAACAGATCTGAACACTGCCCTGTTCTGCCATCCTCACCGTCTCTGGTGGGCTGGAGCCCATTGTTACAATCACTGTGTCACGTACTTTGTCTCCCATACTTTGGGCATGTTGTCAGGAGGGACCAATCCTTGGAAAAAAGGCATCATGCCAGGAAAGGTGAGGGTCAGAAAAAGAGAGGAAGACCGCCAACAAGATGGAGTCACACAGTGACAGAGTGTCTAGAAGAGAATTAGGATATGTTTGTACTGGGGGCATGTGATTTCGGAGGTCTCCTCCCTGGGGGGTTTCTGCACATTGAGATGGTTGCCAGGCTTCCACCTTGCCGTCTGCCTCCTGATACTGGACGTGCCCCTGTTGGGATGAGGAGTGGGGAGGTTGAGGACAGGATTCAAAGCAGTCAGAAGTTGCTGGTGGTTCTTCCAGATTGTGGATTTCTTGAAGAAGAAACGTGACTTTGTGGACCTCGTCATAAAGCACATAGGAACCTCAGCTATCATGGACCTGCTGCTCCGCCTCCTGACATGCATTGAGCCTCCTCAGCCCAGGCAAGACGTGCTGAATGTGAGTAGGACCACGGCCTGTCGCTGAGGGGGGCTGGAGAGGGACACGGCTGTGCTCGAGGGGCCAGAGGGGTTAGTGATAGGGGAGGGATTAAGTGATTCTGATTTTGCAGGCTGGGGCTGGTAATGTGTGGGATGTGAGTAGTCCTTTCCCTCAGCTGGTTTATTCTCCAGCGTCTAAAGAACAGAAAATGAGACATGAGGGCACAGGGCCATGAACGTCTCTCTGAAAGGGCCAGAGGGAGAGAGAAAGCAGATTCTAGAGCCACACTCGCAGCAAGAGGTTAATTTATTCGTTGTTGAGTTAGGCTGTGGTGCCGAGAGTAAGGTGTATTAGAGAAGTAAGTTGGAGAGTGGGGCAGGCAAAGAATATCACCCAGTGCAAGTCCAGGTTTTAGCTCAGCAGTTCCAAGGCAGTTCCTCAGTTAGTACAGGCTCTGGTTTCAGTGCAGCAGCCAGCTTTTTCTTCCATCATCTGACAAAAATACCAAAACTTTTAACTGTGGCCTTTATCTCAGGGCTCCTCTGGCTACACCTTGCCACAGTTTCTCCACAGCAATGCCACAGTCTCTCCACCACCATCTCCAGGGTCTTATTCCAGTCTTTCTCTAGTCTTGCTCTCTTATCCTAGTCCCACAGCTGTTGACCATGTGTCTGCAGTTAAGGTAGCAGGGGACCAGAGGGGGCTATAACATAATAGCTGTAAAAGCCAACTTTTAAGCTAACACTGCACCCAGGGAGCCAGGCGGGGTCAAGGCTGAGCACTTGTTGGGAAGTTGGTCCGGGGAAGACAGAAAGATGAAGGGAGGGTGTCGGCAAGCCCGATCACTTGTTCATGTATTGTAGCTGTTGGCATTTTCCCTGGGTGGGCTTTTTAGTTTTCTGTGTTGTCCAAAGTTTAGAGAAACCCGTAACTGATGGACATTTCTGAGCACGTTAATCCTCACGGGTGGTGAGCAGGAGCCTCTCTGATCACCGACTTGACCAGTCTTTTCTCGGATTTAATTTTCAGTGGTTAAATGAAGAGAAAATCATCCAGAGGCTGGTGGAAATAGTTCATCCGTCACAAGAAGAAGATGTAAGTTGTACTCACGTGTGACTGCTTGTTGGAGCACCCACGTGTGAGGACAGGGAGCACGAGTGAAAGAGCTGTCATCGGGCATTCTTGAAGCTGGCCATCTTCTTAACACGCTAATGGAAAAGTGTGACACAGAAGTTGAGGGTCTGGAGATGTGAACTAGGGGTCCTGGTTTAAACCACCGCCTGCCTTTCCAGAGGTGATTGGTTGTGCCTGGCCCTGCTCACCTTGTCACGTCTCTATAGTCCACATGTCTTTTCCCTCTTAAACCCTTTGGTGTACACACGTGGTCATGCCTCTCCTCTCTTGAGCGCTTGTCCAGCAGCAGAGTGGGCGCCTGCTCAATGATGGTTGAGCTGCAGATCCTGGACCAGTTGTCTGTGTTGACTGTGGACCTGTGCCCTGGTGCTGGGCCTGGTGGTGAGATGCAGCTTGCAGGTCCAGCCTCCGCGCAGAGGGTGCCTGGTTGACCCGTTCGCGCTGACGGCTGTGTGCTCTATTCCAGTGTGCAACCCACGTTTCGTGTCAGAGTCATGTCAAATTGCCAGTCCAGGCTAGTCCATGTGGAGGAGCTGGTTTAAGGAGAGCACAGGTCCCCTTGTGTGGTTCTAGCTACAGGTGACAGTGGTGGGAACAGCCAGAGGAGACGCCACCTTAGGGGGCTGTTTATGCTGGATGCTTCAGAAACTTTTGGTACCTGGAGTTCATCTGGTAACAAATTTTTGTGTTTTTTTTTCCTTGTTTTTAAGAAGCTATTAAAATATTGATAACCCAGCTTTCTCCTCTAAGGCAGGGTTTGAGGCCTGCGTGCTGGTACTGTTGCAGACTGGGCTAGGTTCAGAAAGCACTGTCTGGATTCTAGGGAGAGAACCCTCTTAGAAGGCATCTTCTGTCCAGCCGGGGTAATAGGCCTGCTCCTCTGAATGGAGCTGGTGATGCTGACGGGAGAGCAGGTTTCGAGGAGCACATTTCCATGATGGAGGGGAGGCAGTGGTGGAGCAGGAAGGAGGCGTCACAGCCCTGACGTCCTGTGGCTGGACAGGAGAGCATGGTGCCTGCCGAAGGCCGTCAGCGCTGTGCGCACCAGCGTCCTGCCTGTAAGGAAGTTGGTTTTCCCTTTTGGATAGTCCTGGCACTAGTGCTGCTGCATTTCATTTTGTGCCACAGTGCCTAGTACGATGGCACTGGCCGCTTTGTGTCTGTTGAGGAAATTGGAGTGCCCGGCTACGCAGTGCACTGTGGTGTCCTGGCGTGTGCTGTCTGCTCTGTGCTGGGTATGCAGTGCCCAGTCCTCACCTCAGATCAGCTTCACGGGCCACTGGAGGACCCATTCTGCATTGGGAAAAGATTAATTAGTTCTTCCCTATTGGTTTCTTCCAGAATGTTCTTCTGTCTTTAAAAAAAAAATCCAAGAAGTATGTATGTCTTTGCACCTGAGGAGAAAAAAACCCCTGTATCATTTGAGAGTATGTTTTCTCAGAGTGTTCAGTAAGGATTTGTCAGAACTTTCATCGCATCCTCCTGCAAAGAGGGAGAGGAGTGTGCATTACTGTTAAAAAAAACCCCACTAACCTGCTAAACTTAATTAAGTATTTACGCCTTATGTAACATTTCTTTGGGCTTAATTTTTAACTTATTAAAGTTTATTTAAAAAACCCAACACCTCGAACTCATTGCCATCTGATTGGAACTTAATTAACCATAGTTGACCCTCCACTGGTTTCAGAGGGTGTCGGTCAGACCAGAGAAAATGGCCCGTCTTTTTTGGGCCAAAGTGCTTGTGGATTCAAGCGCCCTATGGATTAGCAGTGAAACGCCCTAGGAGCTAGGCCACTAGAACTCCAGTGTTTGTTTGGGTTATTTGTCGTTCTCTTCCTGAGTGTGAGAAATTTAACTTTTTTCATGTTTTATAGTTAAAATTGTCCTTTTCCCCTTTAGCGGCATTCAAATGCATCCCAGTCACTTTGTGAAATTATCCGCCTGAGCAGAGACCAGATGCTACAGATTCAGAACAGTGCGGAGCCGGACCCCCTGCTCGCCACCCTGGAAAAGTAGGTTTGCAGCCCCGCTCTTTGTGTGTGTGTGTGTTTCTCAGGCGGCGCCGTGCAGTGTGCTCGCAAGTGTTTCCTGTGTTGGAGTCACAGCCCAGGAGCATGCCCTTGGTTGGAGGAGGAGGAGGAGGAGGAGAACCTGCTCACCTGGAATCAGTGCTGTACAGACCGTCATTGTGTAGATCGTTTGCTTACGTTCTCAGGAGGCATCATCCAACAGAGCAGTACAGCTTCACTGTAGTCACAGCCTCCAAAGGTCTTGCGTGGAGGGATACCTTAGGTTCAGTTACATGAAACCCACTTTGAGGTGCAGGTGGGGCTGAGACTGGGGCGGCCTGAGCAGACCTGCTTGGAAGCCAGGTGAGTCCTGGCTTCTGCTCTCACTGTCACATGGTGCCGTGAGCAGTGGCGCAAGCTGATTTGGGTCAACGCTAGCTGCAGTTTGTGAACCATCAGCCTGTGCATGTTAGTTTTTATGGAGTCATGTATTTTCACAAAGAATGTTTACCGTCAAGCATGGGTATACCTTTGTTTCATTGTAAATTTAAAACATGAGTTTGTCCTGGGTTGGGAATTTACTGAACTTTGTCTCTCAGAAATGGTCTTTTCAAGTACTTGTTAGTCGTCTAAAGGTTGGACAGTGACTAAGCATGACTGATAAATACTTGATGCCTTTGAGCTGTGGTGTTGGAGAAGGGTACCAGATATCCGTGGACTGCCAAGAGGACAAACTGATGTGTCTTGCAGAAAGTGCAGTCAGGATGCCCCTGGGGCAAGGGCAGTGAGGAGGGCCTGGGGCTTGGAGGTCGTGTGTCAGTGAAGGTGGGGAGGACCCTCAGGGAGCTGGACCGCCACGGGGCCTGTAACAGTAGACTCACGCATGTCAGAGAGACATAACAATAGTCCACAACATTCTGGACTGTAACCGTAAGCTCCGGTGTGGCAGAGGCGGTGAGGACGATGCACGCAGGACAGAGTCCAGATCATGTGGTCGCTGTGAGTCATAGTCGGCACCTGACACCCCAGTAACTCACTACTGGGGCTTTGCTCCCAAGCATATAACCTGCGTAGGAGACAAACGCGAGAGAGGTCGTGAGATTGGAAAACACTCACACAAGCGCATTTGTTTACACATAAATACAAGTTCTAGCCTGTATGCTTATGGTTACATATCATAGTATGGTTGTGAGTTGTTTTTAAATTTGTGCCTTTTGTTGTGTTAATATGACTCTAAGGTTTATACAGGGAGTTTCATTGCTAACGCAGCCCACCCGCTGCTCCATGAGAGAGAAGGGCATCTCGTCCCGCGTGCCAGCCCTACGGAGTGTCAGCTAAGAATGGCCTCCACCTCAGCTGCAGTGCGTTTGAGTAGCCAGCACGCTGGGAGGAGGGGGGAGGAGCTGCACGCCACGTGAAGCTAGGCCAGGAGCAGACGCTAAACAAGATAAATGCACAGCACACCGCCCCTCTCCACACCAGTGGAGAAAGCCTTTACTTAGAGCTGGTGCCTTGAGCAGACTTCTGAACTGGGAGAAAATACATCAGTGTTTGTTACAGCCACCCACTCGGGGTGTTTCCCTTAGAGCAGCACTGGCGAAGTGAGGTACACAGCATCCAGGTGGCAAACCAGGCGTGCTCTGCTTAGGGGTTGGCAAGGCTGCTTGTGGTGAACTTTGCTGGGGGCAGAGCCGCAGGCTGGCTTCGTTGCGCCGGCTTGTTAAGCTCCCCTTGGGTGTCTCTTGGTAAACACTCGCAGTGGTAAATGCTAGCAGTGACTGGGTCCTTTTCTAGATCTGTGTACTGAGGCTCTTTTCTATCTTTTGGCTCAACTCCCAGGAGAGCCCTTTTATTAAAAATTGGCCTGCAGAATTTCCCTGGCAGATGGGACACAGGCAAGGAACGAATGGAGCCATCAGCTTGTAGCCTCTTTTGTGAGAAGTCGTGTCTCTCGAGTGTAGAAGAGGCTGGTGGCTGGCACTGTCACTCCTGAGTGAAATGCCCTTGCCCTGCCCGCTTCCCATGTGGGTATCGTTAAGCCAAGTAGAGGTTTTAAGCTGTATGCACTGGGATATTGACAATAGTGCTGTTACTAGATTGAGTCATAGGAAATCACCTCTTGAGCAGGTTAGACAGTGTTGCTGCTGTTGTCCATCCCGCATGTTCAGTGCGGCGCTCTGACAAAGCCGACTGGGGGGGAGGGGAGTTCACACTGTCAACTGTTCCACAGGGGGAATGGGTTTTAATGTTTTCTTTAGTATGTTGTCGTTGTCGATTGCCTTTTGAGTCGAGCATGACTCATAGTAACTCTGGACAAAAGGCCTGAAGCCCCTCTACAACTGTGGACATTTATCAAAGTTGGTAGCATTTCCGGAGGCATGTTCTTTAGGAAGTGGATGCCACTCCTGCTTCAATCCGATACACACAGAGGATTTCAAGTATGAGCTGTTCCCATATATCTCTCCTCCACCCTCCAAGTCTTGGAGATGCACAGGGGACTGACACTTAAGACACGCCAGTTTAGACCAACGATGCTGTGTGCTGCATAGCACGTGTGTGGCTGGCATCCGTACTGGACACTGCAGTGGTGACTGTCTAGTCAGTGGTCATCTTGGAGCCCTTCAGCGCCGCTGCGCTCTCTGCTCGCATGGCTGGCTTTGAACCAAGCCTGTGCTCCAGCCCTTAGCGCTGCCTGTGTGCTGGCTGTTGGTGCCGGCAGAATCGGGGAATGGAGATAGGTGTGTGCCCGGAGTGTACGTTACCTACTACTTGTCAACCCTGTGATGTCACCTATGGGTAGACCGTTTGCCAGGCTTAGTGATGGGTGGTTCAGTCTATAGCTGTGTTCACCTCACTTTCTGGGGAGAGCCGATCCCCTGTAGCTCCCAGACATGCGCCCACTTCATGGTAGTTCTTGGAAATCTCTGCAGATTGACCAGAGCAGTGAGATAACCAGCAGGCATCTGATAGACAAGACACACACCACAGCCGTGCTGGACCCCGAGTCTTACCTGTGCATACAAAGACCAGGTACAGAGGAAGTGAAAGCTGAAGCGGGTCAGAGATGGTGAGGATGGCACAGACGAGGACAATGTTCAGATCTGTTGGGTCACACTCGACTCAGTGGCACCAACAGCAGCAACAAACGCAGTGATGTAACGCCGTCGTGTATGATTGAGGCAGCCTTCTGGCAGTCCGTACTCAGACCCACCAGAGAGGTGGAACAAGAATGTCAGCACAGGAAGTAGACTGAGTCAGGTTAAATACATTCAGTTTAGTGATGCTAGAGAAAGGGTTGAGATCTCAACACTCATGTAAAAATGTTGTGTTACAGAGGGTTATGCCACATGTCTTGTGACTTTTTATACTAATGAGCGCAGAACACGTTGACGTTTGATCCCGACTAAGCCAGTTAGGTTGCAGGACTGTCTTTCCTCTGGCTACACATGCTAAAAAATTTTTTAAAAAATTAAAAGAACAACCAAACAAAATGCACAAAGCAACCTTTGCCTGTAATGTGTGGTGTGGGTCCTGCGTGAGGTGTGTGGTGCCTCACCCCGTGTCCCAGGAACGCTGTCTTTCCAGTGTGACGGTTTCTTGTTCTCACCTGTCAGTGTGTCTGCTGTCTCAGGCTCTGAAGGCACTCCTGTTACCATGTGTGACAGTAGCTTTTTTCCCCTCTCTTGGTGTCTGTGTGCAGGTGGACCTCAGGCACAGCTGACATGTAGCATCTTGTCTCCTCGATGTCTGCTAGGTGTTACCCTGCTCTTGTCAGTCAAAAGAGAGCACCATGAGAGAAGTGGTCAGGGCCTCATGTCAGTGGTGCTGATGCAGGGTGGGCAGCGTGAGATCCAGATGTGTGAGCACCCTGTGGCTGTCCTGTGGCCGCTCCTCCTCGGATGGGGCTGCTGTGTGAAATGACACACACCTCTACAGCTCCAGACCCTGGCCTCGGGGTTCTGGATCTCCGTTCCAGCTCTGGTACTCATATGACAGCTGGGTGTGGAGCGACTAGGGCTGCAGTGTGGTCCTGGCAAGCAATTTGCAACCCAGTCTGGGGTTACTTGGGTGCCACCAAATGCCTCTGACATTACACAGGGTACTGCTTTTATTTGCTTCCCCAGATCAGAGTTGGTCTCCAGTTGCCCTTACCTGGCAGGAGGTAGAGCCCAGTCCAGCTCTGTCTGAGGATGGCTGACATCCTTGTGAGATGAGCGCTCAGGGACTGTCTAGGTGTGTTGTCAAAAGACACGTAGATTCAGAACTCACTGAGCCTCTGGAAACTGGGATATTTCTTCCTAATGTCCGGATAAATTTAACCCACAAGATTCTTCCCATGCTTTATATTAACAGTGATCTTGAGGGGTAATGAAAATAGCAGAGAATGCTCTTTAGGCCACAGTTCAAAGACATTTCATTGATACCATGTTATTTTGATTTAATAAATTTTAATTGTAAAAGTAAAATTTTTAAAAAACACTTGTTTAGGATATTTTCATTATACAGTAATGCTATGTAGGGAAACATTTGTGTGATATAACTAGACTTTTTAAAAAATTGTCATCCTCTTGTGCAGATAAACGGTTCTAAGTCTTTTTGCTACCTCCTACCACCACCACCCACCCACCCTGGCCCGAGTGGGAGGTGATTTTGAGTCTGGAAATATTTCTTGGCTCTGAACAAGATTGGCAAAGACAACCAGGGCCCAGATTATTTTGATGAGGGGAGTAGGTAGAATATTGTTACTTACCTGAGAGAGTGTGTGTGTGTGTGTGTGTGTGTGTGTGTGAGAGAGAGAGAGAGAGAGAGAGAGAGAGAGAGAAAGAGGTTTATGTAAGGTGAATCACTTGCTTGTCTTAATAAATATTACATAAAGCAGACCCTCCAGGTGAGGATGGACGTGGGTGTAGCGCTTTGTACCTGCCTCACTTGACCAGGACCATTTCCTCACAAGATGTGATTTAACTCTTGATTTGTCTCCCTAGGCAAGAAATTATAGAGCAGCTTCTATCAAATATTTTCCACAAAGAGAAAAACGAAACAGCCATAGTCAGTGCAATCCAGATCCTGCTGACGTTACTTGAGACCCGACGGCCAACGTAAGCTTGCCTCTTCTCTTCCCACATGAGCCTTTTGCCTTGTTTTCAGATGTTTAAAAGCTACGCTTGAATGTCAGAGGCCGAATAGTTTCTTGGTTCTGTAGTGTCGCCTTCATCGTATGTGACTGTGGTAGGTGGGTGAGTTGGTACTGCCACATTTGCAAGTCTTTGGGTTTCTGCAGTGGTTAGGAACCCGCCGCTCCAACAGACCATCTAGTGACCAATGGCTCAGACACGAAGGAAGCTGTTTTTGGCTTAAAGTTGGAGATGGGATTCTGGTTGGAGGGCATCTCACCTCCAGCTGGGGTTCAGAGAACTGGCTCGTCCTCACACTCCCTCTGGAGATGCTGATGGGGCCTCCAGTTGATTTTTTTAGGCTTCCTAGGAGTTTTGTGAGGTTTACGCTAACTGGCTGGGCAGGTGGCTTGAGGGCCTATGGAAGCATTCCTGCTTGGCATTTTAAATCAGACACAGGCCAGCTGTTCCCTGTTTATTTTATCTTGTTTATAGTGGTGTCCAGGTTCATTTACTCATTGACTGTGGGAGTTTTCCAACTTGCCCTGCTGGAGGAGGATTTGAAGAGGCATGGGTTGTAGCATCCCAGGAACATGAGGATTTATGGATTAGAATTCTTTTCTCCCTCTAAGCTCATCAGGGAAACCAAGTGATAGAGACAGGAACTGAATAGGTCTAGTGTCGCCATAGTGAAAACTCTAGCCATCCGAGGCTCTTGGATTTCCTTTCAATCCTAGAATTTTGATTTCTACCAAACTAGGGAGCCCAGGCTTCCCGCATTGCTGACTCTGGCATTGGCTTGCTTTCACTTTGGTCAGCAGGCTGGGGCTACTTACCTTGGGAAATCATGGTCTGGTAACAAGGATAACTCCTGTCCCCGACTCCACATGGGCAGGTGGCCGCACGGTCCCTGGAGTGAGAGGGCTGTAAGCTTCATAAATGCTGCTCCAACTTAAACCTGGGGGACAGCATGGTTTTACATGTGAAAGAGGGAGATTGAAGCATAATCATGATATAAACAGTAGACACAGCAAGAAAACATAATAAAAGATGGAAGTCTCTGTAGTTATTACCTTCAGTTTTAATAAGACTGCTCAGCAAAATTAAGAAGTTTGGAAACTGATAAAGACCGCAACATAAAGCCAGTCATTCTTCTTGTAAACAAAAATGCATTCTTGTTAGAATTAGGGGCTGAAGGATATTCTCCTTGATCCACCTGTCTGCTGTCATGCTGGGGGCTGCACAGCACAGCCAGGAAGGGCCATCACCCTCACAGCTGGGACCAGGGCGTCTCATGACACATGCGGTGGTTGTCCTGAAAGGGGCCGGCCACCGTGAGTAGCGATGGCATTGTCTACAGAACTGTCATTGAGAGATTGAGAGCTTCAGAGGAGAGAAGCCTTTTAGAGAGAGGGTCAGTGGGAAAGAGGAAGAGGCCAGTGAGATGGACTGTGAGGATGGTGCAGGACCAGGCGGGGTTCCCTGCTGTGAGCTGTGAGCCTGCCCCAAGGATGCCGATTCCCCAGAAAAGGCAGGAAGGACAGGCTTGTTGATTAGTAACATCCCGAACGTGCAGATGACATGGCGCTGTGTACTTGGTATCAGATCCCCGTTTGCTTTTCTGGTCCGTTAGAGACCCGCTGCGATTGTCAGAAATAGTAAGAGGGAAGGGGCAGCAAGTGCATGCATGGTCGGCGTACCTTCTGAGCTTCAGCTCATTCTGCCCGAGGGTCTGTTACCTGCCCATCCTCACCCCCGTGCACCGCACCCCTTCCGTTACCCCGTCAGCACAGTCTTCTGCCCCGTCTTTGGGCAGCCAGAAATCCTCCAGTCAGGTTACTGAGGCGTCTGTGCACCGCTGATGCGTAGGCATGCCCTGGAACACGTGCTGCAGAATGACAGAAGTCACGTTCAATCCCTTGTTTCCAGATTCGAAGGCCATGTTGAGATCTGCCCCCCAGGCATGAGTCACTCAGCTTGTCTGGTCAGCAAGAGTGTTCTAGAAGCCATCAGAGGACGATTGGGGTCTTTTCATGAACTCCTGCTTGAGCCACCTAAGGTAGGTCTGCTGTTTGGAGCGCCCTTGGCTGGGCTGTGCTCTGCTTTAAACAGTGGTGGGAAGGTGTGACGCTTGGGGAGAGGTGAACCAACTGCCCGCTGTGCAGACTGCTTCTGAGGGCACCGTGCCAGTTGTTAATACTGCTTACATCCCGCCTGGCACTCTCCTGGTGATTGTTTTAAAATCTATTGCCTAAATTGGTTAATGAGGTAGAATTAAAATCAAGCAAAATACTTTGCTGCTTACAGACCTGTGCCTTTTGTTGCAGCCACCTGTTAAGTCGTTGGGCACTTACTGGGCAGTGGAAGAGGCGTTTGTCCCTAGTTTGTCCTTGTCATTTCTTTGAGGGACAGTTTCTTTGGGGGACTCATGAGTTTTCATATGTAGAGTGAAGCAGTTCCACAGTCTGTTGGTCAGATAAGCATGTAAGGAAGAGAAGGTTGAAGGTGTAGTGTCCAGGGTGGAGTGTCTGTGTATTGTGAAGACTTGTGCGTGGGGTGTCTGCAGGCCTGCACCTCCCTTACCCACCCAGTGTTTGGGCGTGTTTGAGAAGGGGCTTCTGTTGGAACCTTAGCATGGAAAACCAGTGGACTGAGGGTTCTGACCCAGCTTCACTTCGTACACTTTCCTTTTTCTTTGTCCTGTGTTCTGAGGCCTGCATGTGACTCTCTTGCTGTTATAAGTTACTGGGGAGTTACTACACTGACTTCTAGATTGTGGGCGTTTTCTGTTTCCTTAACCTGGGTAGGAGGGAGGAGAAGTAGACAGGTTATTGGAAAAGATCCTCAAACCAGGGAGTTCACTCAGTTTCCAGGATGTCTTTTAACTTGTAGAGACTCCTGTGAGGTGTACCGGCCACCAGCCTTTCAGGTTTTGGGAGTTCCTGTCCCAGTGGTAAAGTGCACTGCCCCAGCGGGAGTCTGTGTAACTTCGTGAATCTGGAGAAGAGCTCTCGTCACAATCCTAACACAAGTCGTTGTGGAGCGCCTGTCCGGCGTGTTGTGTCCCAATCTGCACCAAAATGGGTTTCCCTTCATGTCAGCCTGCCGGCCATTCCAGAGCGCAGCCTGGGAGTACAGTGTAGTGTAGTTGGGCTGCTGACTGAAAAGTTGTCAGTTTGAACCCACCGGCAGCTCTGTGAGAGAAGAGTGACCTCTCTGCTCCTCGCAGGGTTCACAGCCTTGGGAACTGCGTGGGTCACTTCCGCCGTGGCCTTTAGGGTCCCAAAGGTGGAACGGTCTCTAGGGAGTGGGTTTGATTTGGTTTCTTTTATTGAAAACACATGATCTCAACAGAAAATTCCGTGTAGACAGTTATTTGGTCCAGTTAATAGGGTTAAGACAGCTGCTGGCACCCAGCGCGGCTTCCTCTGTGGGCTGATCATTCTGCTTTCCGTGTGTGGTGTGAGGGTGTCCACAGGGAAGGACTGTCCTGTGACCGCAGACAGCACCTGTGATGCCCAGAGAAGGGGGGTAAGTGGGGGTGGGGGAGAGGCCTTCCCTCGTGCGCAAGGAGACACGGAGCGCTAAGGAGGGGTTTTATGGCATCTTGGGTGACAGCGACCTCTCCCGACGAGAAGGCAAGGCAGCATCAAGTGTGGTTCTCATTTCTCTGCTTCTCACTCAGTCGGAACTGACTCGCACCTGACCCTCCTGCAGTTTTCAGACTGCTAATGACACAGGAATAGATTGCCCATCTTTTTCTTGCAGAGCTGCTGATGGATTCGAACCAGATGCCTTAAGGTTGGCAGTGCATTTCCTTACCACAAGACCACTACAGTGTCCCGTTTGGGTTTTTTATTTTACCAAATGATGAGTATGACTAGATCCATTAAGTCATTTTTCAGTCTGTTCACCAAAGCTCTTTTAGCCAGAGTGGCTGAGCCGTGGCAGCATTAAGCCTGCACAGGAGAGGGCCAGCTCCCCCGGCGGAGAGGAAGGGTGCTGATGACTGGGGTGTAGACAGGGCACCTCAAACGACTGAGGTTCTGAAACATTCCATTTTTGTCTTCTGTCCTTCCAAACTTAAAACTCCTTTTTATGGGTGAGAACAGGTTTAGTGTTCTGGCTGGAGACAACCTCAGAGTTTGTTTTCATCGATGATTTGGTGGCGATCGAGGGCTGAGATCGTAACATGTTAGCTTCTCAGCTGCCTGGTCAGGTCTGGACACATGGCCTCTCCTGTCAGAGCCACTGTACCTCGGACCCCTTCTGTGCAGTTTAGGGGGCTGGGCTGCACTTGCGCTTTGTAGACCTGTCCTTCAGAGAATGGACTTGATCTCAGCACTGGGTTATTTCCCTACGCTGTAACGATGACAGGTGTCATGTCAGATTTGCCGCCAGGTGTTGATTTTAGCGCGTTGCAGAGTTGTTTGACTGGATTTAATTGGAAGGCTTCTTCTGCCTCAGAAAAGTGTGATGAAGACCACATGGGGCGTGCTGGACCCTCCGGTGGGGAACACCCGGCTGAACGTGATCAGGCTCATCTCCAGCCTTCTGCAGGCCAATTCCAGCAGCATCAACGCTGACCTTGTGGAGCTGAACAGCATCGCGGTCATTCTGGTGAGTGTCTCCCTCACAGGGCTTCTCAGGTGCCTTGGGTGTGTTAGGACTCGGGGCAGCTCGCACGTTGACATGTGGGCTGCCATTCTTGATCTGAGCATCAGCAGTCTTCCACAGGTCATTTTCTGCTTCGCTGGGGCCCTGCTGAGGACACCACTGCTACGTAGGTTCTAGGGGTCAGTGTCTCTGGAAATCCGATTTTTGTCTTGGGGAGTTGGAAACTACATCTGAGAGTGAAAACATCAGACTGTGTGTAGCCACATGGTCTGTAGTGCTCCTTAACAAGAGACGTAGCAGGCTTGGGTAACATGAGATGTCCATTTGTTTTGTTGTTTTTTTTTTGAGATGTCCATTTGTAAGTGTAGTTTATTGTGATGGAAATGTGGCTTCAGTTTTGGGGATTGCCTGCATATAATTTTTGCCTTGGGTTTATCATACATTTTGATAATTTTTCATTTAGGTTTCATAAGACATGTGGCTACATAAGACATGAGAATTTAGGGGAGTGTTTCAAAGAAGGGGTCTTTGGTGTTTGCATTCTACCTGATAGACATTGTAAGGTGTACCTGTGTCCATTTCTCACATGGAAACCCCGCCGATTAAGCCCAAGGAGGGCGGGGAGGACACCGCCTCCGGTTCACCTCCTCACACACCCACACGTGCTTTATCAGTTCTGCCTTTTTGTTCCCTGATGTCCCTCAACTGCTCTTCTTTTCTTTTGTGACATTGTCATTTGTCACATATTGTCGGGGTCCTTTCTGCCCCAGGGACTCGCATGGCACTTGCCTGTCTTGCCTCACTTGTGTTTGCCTGTCAGCTGACAGTGCTTCCAGTGTTGAAGGTCTGGCTGTGATTCTTTCGGGGATCACAGTTCTCTGTCTGTCGCTGTCTCCTGCGCGACACCCAGCACGGTGCCCTGCCCAGACACGTGTCAGAAAACGGTGCATCAAAATGAAATTTTCGTCAGAGTCTTTGAAGCAGATTGGAAATTTACTGAACTCAGCATCTGCCTTGTTGCCGTGAAATCTTGGAGAGAGGTGCTCTTCTATTTGAGGGACTTACTATTTATTGTCTGTTCCCTAGACATTCATGGCTGCTTTCTCCCAGATCAGATGACGGCTCCTGCATGCTGACCGAGCAGCTGTCTGGCTCTTTACGCTGCGGAGTGGGGCCAGATCTTCCCCATGAACGTGGGCTTCCTTAAAGAGCCCGGCCTGGCCCAGAAGCCACTGTTTTCCTGGGCGTAGATAGCACTTCTGTGGCTGTGGTATAGCAGTGGATTCAATAACATGTCCCATCTCTTGGTAGGACATGTTTTTCAAGTACACGTGGAACAACTTCCTGCACACCCAGGTGGAGATTTGCGTGGCACTGATTCTTGCGAGTCCCTTTGAAAACACAGAGAATGGAACGATCACAGATCAGGACGCCACAGGGGACAGTTTGTTATTGAAACACGTAAGCTTGCACGGGCCCCTCTTGCCGCCGACCCCTCCCCGGCACATCATGCACACCTCGTTTCAGCGAGATGAGCTGGGCTTTAAGAGCCTGTGGTGGATTTCAGAGAGGTGCATATTTAGCAGTCATGTTTTCACTGCGCCTTTTAGCAGTGATTCCTTCAACATTTAAGAAAATGGGGAGACATGAAGATTTAGACATTGAGTAAGTCCTTCAGTGGGGAGGAGTGAGGTGTGGGTGACACTAAGTGAACCCTCTCCTGTGAGGTGACTGGGCTAGTCAGGCTTTGGGGTCCTGACTCCGAGGGGCTCTGCTCTCTGGGTTTTCCATCGCACCCTTGGTTTGCTTTCACCCCAGGTTGGGAAGGCCCTGTGAGAGGAGTGGCCTTGGGGGGTGGGCTTTGTGAGTGGCCCCCGGGTGGGACAGTGCCCGCCTCACTCGGCCCCAGCAGCACAGCTCCTTAACACTGCTCCTCCACAGTTATGTGTATGGTAATGAATGCCATAAAACAAAACACATGTGAATGGTGGGTGGAAACCAGTTAGCTTTGTAACCTTTCACTCAAATGACAACGGAAGGAAAATCCAGCTACTGGCCAGGCCCTGTAACACCATGGCTCCTCCTAGAAGGCCCTGAGGCAGGCGGGGCTGGATGTCCTGGGCCTGGAGTAGACGGGCCACACTTTGTGGCTGCTGTCCTCACTCTCCTGCTTGCTGTATGTGCTTGTGGGTTATGTATGCCACTGTTCTGTTGAAACAGAGTTTTATTGCTTTATAAAATTTTGACGTGCTGATACTAACACAAATGTTAACTAGAATATTCTTTTTCATTCAGCTTTTTAAAAAATGTCAGTTAATAGAACGGATACTTGACGCTTGGGATATGAATGAGAAGAAACAGTAAGTACATTGCTTTCTCTTAGAATTTTCGTTTAATCGACAGCTTGACAAACACATCCCGTTACCCTAGTCAGCAAGGGGCTCTGGTGGTGCAGCGGTTAAGCACTTGCCTGTAAAAAGACGTTGTTGTCCCAGACCCACTGACGCGCTGTGGAGAGAGACGTGTGATCTGATGGCAGCCTCGGCGACGCGGGAGCAGTTGAGCTCGGTCCTGCCAGGCTGCGGGCCGACGCACAGCAGAGACGTGCCTCCAAAGCTCCTTGCTGTGCAGCCGGAGCTCACTTGTAGCTGACCCCCCAGCGGGCTTGTGGTGCTGTAAGTGGCACAGGAGCAGAGTGCCTACCGCCCTGCCGAGGTGCTGCTGGTGGATTCGAACTGCCCAAGAGACGCTGCCTTCCACTTAACAGCACAGCTCAATGGACCCCACAACCGTAATTACTTAGACGTAAAGACCGTCTTATACAGTAAGCCATTCTCAGGCCTTCCAGAGTATTTTATTGAAACAGCTGGTTCTCTGACCGTTTTTTCTGCCTGCCCCCTCCCACCATCATTCCCTTGCTCCAGAGGGGAGCGGCGGGGAGGGGGGCATCCTACGCTGTGCTGACCCGGGAGCCCCCGTTCTCAGCCTGAGAAGGTGGGGAGCAGGAGCTGAACGGGAACCCTTCTGTGAGGCTCCTTGAGGTCAGTGGCTCGGCCTGGCTTTTCTTCGGCACAGGAGGTGCTGGGTGCTGAGCAGGGCCTCGGTGCGGCGCTCGCGTTCGCTTTACTCCTGAATCCCCTGAGGTACAAACGCATCCTTCACCGGGCCGTCCCCTCCCGGACTCTTTCCTGCCATCAGTCAGGAGAGCTAGGTCATTCTCGCTGGGCCTCAGCTTCACTTTGTAAGCATCAGTTAAGTTTAAAAAAATGACAGTGCATGAGCTTGGTTTGACTGGGGAGATTGGATGCCGTGTAAGTCTCAGAAGACAGGTGTTCTGGGCCTCAGATGTGTTCTGCAGAGGAGTTCTTGGGAGGGGGTGCTGTGTGTGTGCCCAGTCCCCCTCTGGTCATGTGTCCTTGGTGACTGCCCGTCCCCCTGCTGGGTCCTCACCCAGAGCTCAGGTCGCCTTTGGTAGAGCGCCCCCTGCTGTCCTCTTCTGTGAAAGCCGCTTGCTGGGTCCCAGGAGGGTTCTGGACTGGCGCTTCTGGTATTTCCGCACCTTAAAGCCTTGAGTATCCAGACTCGGCCAGACTCCCTGCAGATGGGCCTTTGTTTTCACCTCTGGGGTTCAGAACACACACCATGAGAGACCCTATCAACTAAGAACTTACATGTAAGAAAGAGCTGGGTAAAACTGGAAGCTACTCCAGCAGCGGGGCACCCATGCTTTGCCCCAGGGCCTCCGAGCTGACCTAGCAGGCACTTCCTTTTCCAGGTGAGCCTTCGAAGGTCCTGTGGGTTTGTTTTAATAGGTTGCTCCCGCCAGGCCGCTCTCCTTTTTCTGCAGAAATCTCTATTATCTGTAAGCAGAAATCTGCAGTTCAGTAGAATTGAAAGTCTTGACATTTATAAATAAATTGCAGTGACAGGAACAGTTTGTCTGACTGTAAGGTCACAGGGGAGGTAGACCTGTGCAGGAGCGGGCAGGAACTAGGTTCAAGTTCACCAGCGCTCTCCCTCTTATTCTTGTCCAGCTCCTCCAATCCAGCAGCATTTTAACTTGAAACATGCAGTGCCACTTGGTCACTTCTTTTGTTCTCAGTTGATCTGACTACAGGATGTCTTTGGGAGACAAGCTAGCAGAGTCATTGTATTGGTAGGAAACGACAATCTGACTAGAATCTGAGAAATGGTTTTATAATTATGCAGAAGAGTGAGTGTTTTTGGTAGTCCTTGTTGGAAAATGTGCCAAAGGTGCATGGTTTGCATCTAAGTCTGTGCCCCTTGGCAGGGCTGCCACGTGGTCTGTCCCCAGTCAAGTCCATGTGTTTAATCCACTGAGACAGTGACATCTGTACATCGACTGGCGGGGTCGTGCTTTCCCTGTGCTGTCTGGGAATGCACGGCAGTTCCCATTCTTTCCTTCTCAGCCTGCAGGGCCCAGAGCTTCATGAACCTTTGTTCTTTGGCAGGGCGGAAGGAGGACGGCGGCATGGATACATGGGCCACCTGACGAGAATGGCCAACTGCATCGTGCACAGCGCCGACAAAGGCCCCAACAGCAGCTCGGTGCAGCAGCTCATCCGAGGTGAGTGCTGGCGCGCGTGCCTGCTCCGGCTGGAAAGGGTCGCAGAGTCATAGACAGGGGGTGACAGGACAAGTCAGAGCTTGGTGGTGGGGTTTTAGATCACCCACGTTACCTGGAGTTTGAACAAGAGTCCCAGGAGTGCTCGCATAGTGTAGTTCTTTGAGATAGCTCATTCAGTACACACTCGACTCCCCTAGTTTCATTCTGAAAACATAGCTCACCAAGTCATTCCCTTGAGGACCGTGAGCTCGGGGACCCGGCAGACTATGCTGAAGCCGCTCGAGCTGTGCTGACTCTTGCTGTTTGCCTGAAGAGCCTGTTGGTAAGGATTGAGTGCCCCAGATGAGCATGTTCTTGGCACTTTCTCCCCAGCTCCAGTGCTGGGCGGGAGCACGGCTCTCCCAGCTCTTCATGGGCCAGGGTTTCATCTGCCCAAGGCTGCTGGGTGACACCAGTGTGTTCACAGTGCTACCCAGGCCACAGCTCAGTCCCCTGAAGTGGAAGCCCATAGCTCTCGTGTGCTCTGGGTCCTTCTGCCAAACGGAGGACCAGTCTTGACTTCCAGGATGTGGGGACAGTCCTGACACTGCTCCAGAGCTGACTTGCTAGTTGTCAGTTCCCAGTGTAGCCTTCTCTCTCTCTTTCTCTGTTATGTGTGCACGTGTGTGTAGGAGAGGCTTGTACATGTTGAGTGCATGCTGAAAGAGAAAGTCTTGGGGGGACAGACTCGTGGCTTGTGCTGCCCTTAAAATGTGATTCTTGAAAGATATGGTTAAATATTCATCTTTAACCAGGAGGGATGGTTTTATATAGATCAGTCTTTTATAGAATTTGCATGATGCACATGCGTGTGCAAAACCCAGAATTACCAGAAGACATGCTTATATGACTGAAGCCTCCGAAATACTTGTGTGTCTTTTCTTTACAATCTTTGTGAAAGAAGGAGTCACAGTATTGCCCATTGTCACCTGTGACACAGCTACTTAGGATCCTGTGCTTAAAGAGTTACAGAAGCCACGCGGGGCAGTCACCAGCCAGAAGCGTGGCCACGTGTGTGTGTGCGTGTGTCCCCCATGTCCCCGTCTTAAAGACTTGCTAACTGACAAGAGTTCTTTGGAAAAGCTCTGATTTCACAGGAAACGCATGTCTCCCCAAACTGCTTTTGAACCCACAGTGGTGCCGGGGCCCCAGCAGTCTGGGACTTGTGTCACCTGAGCTGCTGGTGTGCGGCATCGTGTTCCTCCCCCAGGAGCCAGGCTGACGCTTGCAGCTGGGTTCTCGTTAGGAATCTCGGTGTCACCTGTTGACGGCGTGTTTCTGTGTCGTTCACTGAAGTGTGCTAATGCTTCTTTTTTTTTTTTTTCTTTCCTCCTGAAGATCTTCCAGATGAAGTCAGGGAGCGATGGGAGACGTTCTGCACAAGCTCCTTAGGAGAAACTAACAAGAGGAACACGGTAGATCTAGTAGGTTTTATGAGGTTATGTTTGTGTTCTTGTGGTGCCCTTGGCCTTTGCCTATTTATCCAGAAAGGCTGGATAAAAAGCTCTTCCATTTGGCCCCATGACTGTGGAGCAAGCCTCAGTGCTTGTCTCTTCACCAGGAAGAGAGGTCAGTATTCACTGTGTTCTCATTTGCCCAGTCACGAGGGTCCACAGAAGCTGCCAGGGTCTGTCTCAGGTTGGGGAGGCATGCTCATTTGCTTCCTGGTGTGCTCCGTGCCCTGGGCACCGCACTCCAGCATCCAGCCCTCTGCTGAGGCACTGGGCATGCCACCTTCCACCTACCTCACATTCCCTGGTGGGGACTTAAAGACGCTCAGTGTTCCTTGGAGATTTCTAATGATACTGAGTTGAATTTACTCATATTTTAGAGAATTCTTAATGGGAAAATTTTGTAGATGGTTTTGGAGCCCCAGTTATAAAATATTGTAGTAGAAATTTGATGCTTTTAGCCAGGGAATAATGGCATTTGATAATTTTTTTAAAAAACAATTATATTGGACTTTGGAATGTAGATTTTGTTTGTTTAAAGCCTTTTGTTTGAAAGTACACATTGTTTGGGTTTTGCCCTGGGCGTGGAGACAAGGCTTCCTTGCCCCAGCGCTCACCGCCTGACACAGGCGGGCAGCTTGAACTTCACCGTGTCCTGCAGTGCAGGGCTTGTGTGGCCGTCCAGCAGCCTGCAGTGGCTGACACGTGTACACTCCAGCTGCCAGGCACTGGATACCTGGCAGCCCTTGGAACATGGCTTAGACGAGGGAAGCAGAAGGACGCTGTATGCCCTCTTGAGAGAAGAGTGGAAATGACTTCTTAAAATGAGTGTATTGATAGCATTAGGGAGTCCTGAGAATAGGAATTAAGAGCAAACTATTAAGAGTAATATGAACTAATAGCTTGAAGAAGCCTTACAGCTCTTTGTGTCTCAGCCTGTTTTAGCCCCAACACTGAAGTCCACATTCATCCCAGTGGGAGAGTCCTGGACAGCCAGGACTTCATTGTGGAGTGGGGCAGCCCCTCAGTGTCACACTCACCCTCATTTTAGAGACCTGTGTGGGCTGAAAAATGAAAGCGGTGACTCGTTCTCCTATATGTGGGTTGTCTTCTTTCTTATTTGAAAGGGAGCACTTAGGAATACTAATGGGGGCTTGTTGGGGCTGTGTCTGTCATAACTTCTGTGACGGAGCCATGGCAGCGACTGTACACATGCCTGGCTGTTTGAGCCTGTGACCAGAGAAACGGCCTTTCGCAGGTTCTTTGCTTCTGATTGAAACCAGGTCTCCTCTGATTATTGCTTTTCCCAAAATGGTCCTTAGACTGCATGAGGACGCTACAGGAAAGGGAGTGAGGAGTATTTGAATCAAGAGAAAGGCCGGCTGTCTGCTTTGCTGATGCCGGTAATTTCTGGGTCTCGAGACTTGAGCCCCTTTCACTTCCTTGGCCCCAAGCCTTTCTCCAGGGCCTTTAGTCCTCAGTCCTGTGATTCTGCCAATGGGGAGTTTGTGTGTACAGTCAGGCCTGGCCATGAGGAGACTTGGACTGCAGTCTCCAGGCTCCTTTTTGTCCCTGCCCAGAGGGCTTCTGACAGGGGCAGTTGGTTGGCCCTGTGCTGCTAGGAATGATTTTATAAACTTGACTTTGGTATGCTCAGTGGGCCTTACCCTGCACACAGAATAGAACAGGGCTGTCTGCAGTATGGTCTGGGGCTCAAAAAGTGGTACGTTTTTATCAGGTCCCGAGAATGGAAGCAGAGGAGGCAGGGCGTCAGGCTTCTGGGCTGAGGGTGGAGGATGTTAATTGGAGTCAAGGGAGCAGGGTCCGTTGCCCGAGGGAGTGTTTATCCCTGTGAGATGAGAGATGAGACGGTAGACGTGGGGAGAAGTGTGTGGAGATGCTGTATTGAAAGTAGAATGGGCACATGTGGGTTGGATGGAAGGAACGAGGCTGACGGGCTTCAGCTGAGGAAGTGCAAGAACAGAGGGAGCTTTTCCCGGCAGAGATGCCTCCCAGGGTGTGTTTGGGCCTGTGGACTGAGACCTGGGATTTGGATACAAACCTGGGGAGACTCCCAGTCCATGCAGGGGCCTCACTTGTTCTTGATGCTGTGGCTCTGAAGGTGTGAGTGCGTCCCATTACTGTGCTGACCTGTGAGAGCAGGTGCGTGAGGGGATGGGACAGCTTGGTTGTGGAGTCTCAGCGGTTGTCCACCTTTGACAGGGTGCAGCGAAAAACAAGTGCCTTTTCCTTCTCTTGACGGTTTTCTCCTGGGTGTAGGTTCCCGTGCTGATGGGTTTTACTCTAACAGCAGTTTGCTAGAAGAGTGCCTTCTCTTTGGAGAGCACATGATTTCATTCCCTCCTAGGATTGTTGTCAGCGTTCACCTTAAGTAGATCCTTGAAGGGTCACAAAGCTGCTGGGTAGGAGCTGCTCCTCACACATTGGTTTCCCTTTTGAGGAACCGATAAAGTTGTAGGGGAATGGAAAAGTGAAAAAAGGATACGTTTGATCTTGCTTGAACGTGGATATCAATCCAGGGTTGGCAGCAGCCCACTTGTCTCTTGTTAACCCCTGCCACCTCCCTCAGCCTTTTCGGGCATTCTCTCCTGTAGCCTCACCGTAGGGCTGCGCCCTGAACTGAGGTGAGCACGGTCTGGCCCGCAGGCCCCGCTGCCTGGAGCTCTTCTCATCCACTGAGCAGACCCACTTGACAGCTCTTAATTGCCGTTGGCCCCTAACGTGCCAGCTGCCATGACAAAGCAGAATTCCATGGCGCTCCTCCAGGTGGGCTTTCAAGAACATGCAAGTCAGTAAAGCTGTTGAGTCTGGCAGGTTCTCCTTGGAATGATGCTGCACCTTTGATCTCACGAGGCTGGTTCCAGAGCAGTGCATGTGTGCGCTGGAGGATGGATGGGCAGGCAGGTTGGAGGAAACATGACCCACAGGAGTTTCGTTTCACCTGGGTGTGAGGTACCTGGTCCGGGCCATGCACTGTGTGCTCAGAGCGCACAAGTCTGCACACAACCTTCCGGGCTCTGCCTTCTAGAAAGCCATAGTGCCAGCCACTCAGAAAACAGTGTAGGCTGCCTCAGAAGGTTCTGGAATTCCATAGTCTCCTGACTTAGAAACCTTCATTTCTGATGGTTAGTACATATTTCTGCTAGAATTGGGTGACATTTGTGAATTACTGAGTTGACATCTGTTTAATCTCTGAGAGCAGTTGTAGGCCCTAGGGAGGAGGAAGGAAGGACGGAGTAAGGGACAGGGGACTTGGCATCTCCCTCATCGGTGCACTGCTGACCTGGCCTGTTCAGCACTCTGGACAGTGCTCCCCCCACGTGGTCAGGAGCTGTGTTTCTGTCTGAAGCTGACCTTTCTCGTGACTGGTCACCTGTGGGAGCAGGGATTTCCAGGTTGTTCAGAGGTAGTCCTGGTCCCTCCTAGGAGAAGGTAGTCTCGCTTGGTGGTGGTGGACAGTATGTCGCTGAGCGGGCACTCTCCTCCATTGAAATCGGAGGTGATTTCCAGTCCCTTCAGTGGACTCCCCCACCTCTTTCCTTCCTTGATTCCTGGCAGTAATGAGTCGTGAGAGCAAGGCAGGCAGCGGGCAGCGGGCAGCGGGCAGCAGGCAGCGGGCTGCACTGCGGGGTGGACGGACGGGTGAGCTCTTGAGTCTCTGAGGGCAGTGGGTGGGGGTTTACAATGTAATGAGGATTGATTTGGGTTTTGTTTTTATATTACATACAATGAGAAGAAAAAGGAATGTGATTTTTCCATTGAGAATGTTGGTCAACTGTCCAAGACTCCAGGTTGTTCAGAGGTAGTCCTGGTCCCTCCTAGGAGAAGGCAGTCTCGCTTGATGGTGGTGGACAGTATGTCGCTGAGCGGGCACTCTCCTCCATTGAAATCGGAGGTGATTTCCAGTCCCTTCAGCGGACTCCCCCACCTCTTTCCTTCCTTGATTCCTGGCAGTAATGAGTCGTGAGAGCAAGGCAGGCAGCGGGCTGCACTGCGGGGTGGACGGACGGGTGAGCTCTTGAGTCTCTGAGGGCAGTGGGTGGGGGTTTACCATGTAATGAGGATTGATTTGGGTTTTGTTTTTATATTACATACAATGAGAAGAAAAAGGAGTGTGATTTTTCCATTGAGAATGCTGGTCAACTGTCCAAGACTCCTCCGTTAAATAGTTTTTACATCTTTATGCATGTAGGTCACAGCCTGCCACATTCACGCACCCAGTGACGATGAGATTGACTTTAAAGAAACGGGGTTCTCACAGGATTCCTCTTTGCAGCAAGTGAGTCATGCCTAACGCTTTGCTCTTTGCTTCTGTTTGTGTTTCCCATGCTGAGTCTGGTCATTCCCGACCCCCTTCAGGGCCAGGTGCCCACCAGAAGGTGACCGTGTGCTTCCAGCACGGCACTTGGGAGGCACACACCTCCGACAGGAGACTTTCCCCCTCATAAACAGAAAGCCTGTTTTCAGGAGACCTAAATGAACTGATAAACCATAACTTGTCTCAGGTTGTGCCAGCCTTTTTAATAATTGGGTTTGTGCTGAAACATTCGTCTAGTAGAGACTGTGAGGTATAGGATATGTTAAAATTGTAAGTGAAACTTTACCAGCAGTCCCTGAACTGAGCACCTTACTAAAATGAGCCTAAAATGTTAAATGCATCCCCATAATCTTTGAAACCTTGTCCTGACATCTATTCATTGCCCCTTCTCTGCTGCCCCAGACTTATCATCCATTAGCTGCTAGCATAATTTCAGGGAAAGTACAAAATACGAACAGTACAGGGCCACCATCCACTGGGGGCTCTTGGAGGATGATGTGTGAGGTGGTTTTCTTTCCTGGACATGATGTTGGGGAGCCCTTTGGAAAGTGTTCCTTAATTTGGAGGCAGAAGCTGCCTTAGTTCCAGAACCACCAGCTCTTGGCATGCAGATGGCTTCCACGAAGGAGGCTCTGTCCCTCTTGCATCTCCTCCCAGGGTCTCTGATGTTGGGCTGGCCCAGTCTGTGGTGTGTCTCTGCTGGAGTCAGGCTAAGCACTTGCCTAATTTAAGGATTGTGGCCATTCCACACCCACAGTTCCAAGATGGTCCTGCAGCAACAGTCTGGCCCTTGGTTGGGTCTTGGCTGATTCCTGTTCTTGGGACTTTGGAAGTCAACCCCCTGGGTTAGAGAACATCAGGCTCCTGGGGGCTGTAGACAGCAGCTTTGGTGCCCTGCTCCTGCAAGGCCACTAGGGCCCAGCCCCGCCTGCTGACCCTTTGTGACCACAGGCAGCTCCTCTGTTGTCAGCTTCTGTGTCATTGAGAATTTCCGGGAGACTCTGCCTTCTGCAGAGGGCATGAGAAGGCCCAGCAGTCTGTTTATGCTGTGCATTTTCTTCAGACTGCGTTACAATTCGACCCTAAAGGTGCTTCCCTGTACTTCTCCCGGGCCCTGCTTCTAGAGAGACGACTGGGTTTTCCAGTTTGACTGATGGGCCTGTGAAGCCTTGCTCCCTCACCCGCCCAGACCCCTGTGCTTCCCTACATCCTGGGGAGCTCAGAGAGTGACTGGGCTAGCAGCCGATAGACGCATAGGTCGCCTCTGTACTGACCTGCAGATCCCACACGGCTCGTCTCCAGGCCGACCACGACTGCGTGAGTGCAGTGTGCTCCTGAGCACCTTTTCAAAGTCAGTGGAGCACATGCTTTGTTTCGTCCTGAGAATTCCTGCTGTTCTCAGTACCAGGTTGTGAGTGTCTTCTAGGGACTCACTCGGGTGGCAGTAGGTGACATGCCCGTGTGAAAGGAGCTCAGAGTAGATCCTTTAACAAAATGACACACTTTGTCACAACTTTCCTTCCCCAGCCTTCAGCTCCTTCTGGTCTCCTGAGCTCTGGGACTTGGTTCCTCCTCCCAGTTCCGTACATCAGAGAGCAGCAGTGAGGTGGTTGACCTCTGGAGGGCTCAGCGTCCTGGGTGGTCACCTTCCCTGCCTGTGGTTCAGGCTTGAGCCAGGGCACCTGAAGTTGACTTGCAGCTTCTGGCTGGGTGGCACCACCAAAGAGGTGGGCTTGTCAGGGAGCCAGCTGGCTCCCCGGGGTCCCGAGCAACGTCCAGAGTGCGAGCCAGGAGATGCTGAAGGCTGCTCTTAGCCACGGATCACACACCTGGCCTTGGGTACTCCCCAGAGTCCAGCTGCTTCCTGGCCCCTTGACAGCTCTTTAGTGGGGCAGAGTGTCAGGCTCCACCTCTCTGTGAGCAGGAAACCTCGGGGAGCTCTGGTGGCCTAGTGGCAAGAAGCTGCACTGCAATCCCAGAGGAACGCGGTTCGAATCCACCAGATGCTCTGCCGGAGAAGGAGGCTCAATATCCTCCTGTACCAGTCAGATCTGATTTGACGGTACACGCACACAAAATAATTAAAAAAAAGAAACCTGAGTGCGTCCTTAGTCAAAGTCAGTGCAAAAGCCGGAGGTGATGTGCTAGTTCTAGGAGCTAGAGACCTAGAACTACAAAGAGCTGATTTTTCTCTCCTGCGGTATCAACTGGGAGTGGCTACAGTTGATTGTGCAGACCCATAGATAAATAGAACTCAGCGTGTGTGTGTGTGTGTGTGTGTGTCTCCGTCCGTGTGTGTCCGTGTCCCATCAAACAGAAATGCGGTGTATTTAGTGTCCACATTCTGTTTATGGGGCATTTAAAATGGAAGAGTGCTTTGAAATTTTCTCTCCCATTCTCCACCCAAAAACTTCCTAGAAGGGTCCCGCGAGGCATAGGTGGGTGCAGGGCAGCAGGGAGCCCCTGGGAGCAGCAGGACAGCCTGGACTGTGGGGTGTAAGGGATGCCCTCCTTTGAGTTAGGCGAAAGGGACATTTTAGGGTCTCCAAAGACTTAGATATGATGCTTTTTTTTTTTTCTTTCACATCTTAGGAAAAATGCCTTCCAAAGCCAAATATAAGGTTTAATTTTTTCAATTATCTGCAATTAGGATTATCTGTGCCATAATTCCCTATCACCAGAGCGGGCCGCCCAGAGCTAGCAGGGTACGCATTCTTAGCACCCGGCCGCAGTGGTCAAGTCCACGGAGAAGCTGTGCAGCGCAGTCCAGTTCTGCCAAGCAGGAAGCACTTGGGCTTGTCCCTGTGCGTGCCCACCCCCAGGTGCCATCTGGCCTTGGTATTTGTTCTCTGAATTGAACGAGAGGGCACTTGCTGGTCCCCATTAGTCCTTCATTCCAAGTTCACGTGGGGAATGTACTCACTCACGTCAGTGGTTCCAGGCCTGGTGATGGTATGTCCAGCCATCTCTCCATGGAGCCTGTTGTAGCCATCCTCAAGTCTTAGTGAAAGAATTGGTGCCCCTGGGAAGGCGGAAGGCCCAGCACAGCTCCCCCCGGCTCCCATGAGTGCCACCTTTCCAGAGCAATGGCGAGGGAGTGCAAGAGCTCTGCCCCCTCGGGTGGGATGGACATCCATTCAGTTCACCCGTCCGGTGCCCAGAGACCAGAGTGTGAAGACGATACATGTTCATGTCTGTGGGATTGTGATGTGCTCGGCAGTCACTTTCCTCAGTAGGGTCGGGCTGGGTGGCTTGGGGGTGGGGCAGAACACCACAGAGGGAGGTGGGACCCCCACTGGTCAGCTCTCAGCTTGGTGTGTCCAGAAATGATATGCCTGATAATTTCAGACTGTCCCTCTCAGCTGGCCACCCCTACAAAGGAGATGCTGACCACTCCAAATTCCATATGTAGGTGACAGAGGGTCGCGTTTCACTTCTTACAATGACATACACATTAGAACAACTTGTGGACCACATTTTTAATTGGCACTTTTTTGGAAAACTGTCTGAAATGATTTGATTTTCTTTTTAGAAAAACACACCAACTTTAAAGCTTTTTGGCTATATAAATAAATTTATTTCTGGAGCACAAATGGGCAAATAGTATATAGAATGTCATTAGAATCATTATATCACTGTCACTGGTCCTGGGGTGGCCAGGCCTTTTCTGATTATCAGATGCAACAAATGACGTCCAATTTTATTGACCAGTTTGGATTCAACGATGAGAAGTTTGCAGATCAAGATGATATTGGCAAGTGAGTACATTTCTGTTTTCCTATCTTGCACCCTCTGACTTTTGTGAAAGAAACATTGGTTGATAGATGTTTTAAGGGGTGTTTTTTTTTTTTTTTACCCCCTTGGTTTGGACAGTCCTTCCTGAGGGGGAGCGAGGAGTCTGGGCCGTTCTTTAGATTACTGGATCCAGCCCCGTGGCCCCACACTAACAGTTGGGAACTAAAGGCCCACGTCCAAGAACTTGACACTGACCTTCAGCCTTGACCTCTTCTTGAGAGGCTGGTTTTGTTAGCTGAGTCTCAAGCCACAGTTGCATGTCTAGGTCTTTTAATTGGGTAGCATCACCTATGTATGTATGGGTTTAGTGAGCTTCAGAGTGCCTAGCCTCTGACCTGAGGAGAACTAAAGTCCACTGGGTCGGGTGTGAGAATTGTGAAGCCAGCCTGGCATGGAAGGAAGGCTCTCGACAGACTGCCCAGTGCTGCCCCTGGGAGCCGGTCAGTGGAGCATGGAGTGGTCAGCGGGCCAGGAGCTGAGGCACGGTCCACAGGCTCCTGTGTAAGAGGATGGAAGGCTGTCCTGCCCACCTGCCTTCAGAGTGGGCCCTGTAAATCTGAAAAGAGCGAGAAGATGCCACGGGGCGTCGGTGTGGGCCCTGAGAGCTCCCCACCATCCTCCCCAGACCCCCTGCTGCTCCCATGGCATCCCAGCCGGCATTCTCATCCCAGTAGGCCTTCTCCCTGAGTTCCCAGTTAGGGATCCATGGTATGTTTCAAGTTTATGGTGAGCGCTAGGGATAGTGACTGGTTAGACTAGTTCTTGAGGAAGGGAAGGTAGCCTTGTCTCCTCACACAAGTTCTAGGTCACAGGCTGCATGCTTTTCCTCATGGTCTCCCCCGCTGTCTGCATTTTGTGTGTGACTGCGTGGGGCGAGGCAGGGTCTGATGGCCTGTGTGTACTTTGCTCCCCCTGCCCATTGTCTCCTCCTTTGGATACGTCAGTATTCACAGAGAGGGGACGCCTACAGGTCTTGTCTAGGGGGGACTGCTTGTCCCAGGATTCCAGCTTATTTCTCCCCTGAAGTCAGGACAGGAGATTCCATCGGTACATGAGGTGCTCTTGGGGAGTTTTGTTCCTAGGCTCCTCAGTGGACACTTCACGTTGGGAAACATCATGAACATTGTTGCCATAGTGATGTGTGTTAACGCCACCTTCCCTTACACTTTGTTTGCAGTGTTTCTTTTGATCGCGTATCGGACATCAACTTCACTCTGAATACAAATGAAAGTGTGAGTAAGAAAATCTCCTGGGGAGGGCAGTAGGCAGGTGAGAGATGGAGACTGCGGGTGGATCGAGTTAGTTCCAGCTGGACGCCGAGGGCACCAACAGGCTCTCGGGAGCTCTTCCCTGGGCTGGCTCCTCTATGGTCACCCAGGTTTACCTGCCAGCCCTCTGTGTTAAGTGACAGCTAGCAAAGCCAGGCTCCCTGGGATTCCAGCAAAGCCATTTCACTGTTGTCTGCTTCGGCTGGCTGCCTTTCTTTGCTTTGTGTCGCCCAGAGCAGCTTGGACACATCAGGCAGACTCTGATGCACTGGGTCTTCACCACAAATTACATTAGGTTGGTGGTATGATTGGGTGTTTTATTGATCAGTGTGAGAACGCACAGGTTCATTTGCTGCTATGTGATAAGGTCGAAAGCTCCGTTTAGGCCATTGACTTGTCACTCCTCAACTAGGATGCCAACGACAGTAGCTGCCACTTGCTCCTCCTTATTAGGACACACCTGTGCTTGAATCTCTGGGGTGCCAGGTCAGAGGTTACACGGAATTCAAGGGATGGGCATGACCAGATAGGTGTGTGAAGACAAGGAAATCCTGGGCTGCACTGTCCCATTCTGAGTTGAGCCCAGTGTTTGTAGAAAACCATTTGTCATTACTTACATAGTGACCAGTGACGTTCACGTCTTGGCTTTAGTGTATGTGATAAGGCTATGTCTTTATAGGAAATAGAAAAACAGGTGTAAAGGATAATGTATGACAAATCGAAACTGTGTGAAACCCCTAGTTATGTCCTAATAGAATGAAAATGTTACTCACATTGATAGCTTTGGGGGAGAAAAGAACTCGATTTTCCATTTATCATGCTCTCTCTCGTAGGGAAACATTGCCTTGTTTGAAGCGTGTTGTAAGGAAAGAATACAGCAGTTTGATGACGGCGGCTCCGATGAGGAAGACATCTGGGAGGAAAAGCATATCGCGTTCACCCCAGAATCCCAGCGACGGTCCAGGTGAACGATGGCTCTGTAGTGCTTCTGTCCGTATGCCTGTCCTGACAGAAATGCTCTCGGGCCTTAACCTCCTTTCTGCAGTGGGCAGGGGACATCTGGAGCCTCAGAAGCATGGTTTTGGGGGATACCAGAGTCAGTTGTCACGACATAGTTGACAAATTCCTAGGGTTTTCACAAGTCACAAGGACTGCTTTGCATGCCGCTCGATGAGTAGCACCTACAGTCTTTATGCGTGACCATCAGAGGGACTGCTGTGGTCACTCCTGTCCGCAGCAAAGAGGAGTGAAGAAAATCAAAGACACAGAAATAATTGGTCCAAATGTCTTAATAGGCCACGTGAGCCTTGGGTCCCATGACCCTGAGAACAGAATCCCTAGATGGTGCCTGCTACCACCACTGGCCCCTCTGGAAAGGATGGCGGTAGAGGCACTGAGAGCTGGAAGTGAAATGGGAAGCAAAGCTCAGAATCAGAGTTGACAGGGCTCCCTGCTGCTGGACACTGATTGAAGCCCTGAGGCTTAAGGCCCTTCCTTAGTCCTCAGACCACCCTAACTCATCTCCATAGTTCCCATCACCCAAGCAGTAGACAGGCCTATATGGTGGCAACAGCAGGGAGGAACATTGTTGATTGCCTTTAAGTTGAGCATGACTCATAGTGACCCTGTGAACGAAAGGCCTGAAGCCCCTCTACAACTGTTGATGTTTATCAGAGTTCATAGGGTTTCCAGAGGCATGTTGTTTAGGAAGTGGGAGGAGCATAGCAAGGTCAGGAGGGCAGCTGCTGCCCAGGGGTAGAGCTGAGAAGGCAGGAGGAAGGTGGGAAAGAGGAATGAATGGAAGGGGAGGGTGTGGGTAGAGTACTGCTACATTGTGGGGATGGTAGTCAGTGTCACAAAACGAAGAGAGGATGAATTACCGAATGGGAAACTATGCTCTGTCCACATTTACCCAAGTCACAGTATGGAGTAAGAGCCAAAATGCAGGCCTGTTGAGCATGGACCAAGAGATGTGCCCGGCACCTTCTGAAAGGGATGCAGAGAAGCGCTTGCTTCCTAGTGATTACAGCAGCACCTGGCTCAGAGATGGGTTTTTAAAAAAGACTGAATATTTCCAAAGTGAGGATAGGAATTCTTTATGAAATTCCATCTGATTTGAGTTGGAGAGGTCTCCAGTTGGCACCCTGTGGATCAGTCCAGTTGTTTTCTTTTGCCCTATCAAAGGATCCTAAGTCAGTGACGACTAATACACACTACCATCAAGTTGGAGCTGCCTGACAGCCGATGCTCCAGCTCATTTTCAGAGGAGACTACCTTCTTTCTGCTGTAGCTCCATGGATCGTTAGGTGCTGTCACGTCGAGGAAGACTCACAGCGACCTGACCGCTCTGAAGCCTGGCCTATTCTGTGCCATCCTCACGGCCTCTGACACATTCGAGCCCATTGCTGCAGCCACTATGTCAGTACACTAGGTTGAGGGTCTTCCTCTATTTCGCTGTCTGTCACTCCGCCTTTCCAAGCACAGTGTCCCTCTCCAAGGAATGACGGTCTCTCCTAGCAACATGCCCAGAGTATGTGAGGTGAGCTTTATCATCTTTATCTCCGAGAAGCACTCGGGTTGCTCCTTCTGTATTTGTTCTTTTTCGGGTCCAAAGGATAGTCAGTACTCTTCTCCAGCACCACTGTTGAAAGGTATCACTGCTTCTTTAGTCATCTTTATTCATTGTCCAGCTCTCAGATGTATAGGAAGTGACTGAAGAGACTGTGGTCTGAGTCAGACCCACCTTACTGCTGACATTGTTGTCCTCAGCAATTTAGAGAGGTCCCTGATTATAGACTCAATTGGTGCAAAATGTCCTCTGATCTCTTGACTGCTGTTACCAAGTGTATTGATTGTGGAACCAAGTAAAAGGAAGTCATTGAGAGTCTCAGTCCTTTCTTCATCTGTCATGATGTTGCCTATTGGTCCAATGCTGAGGGTTTTTGTTTTCTTGATGCTGAGATGCAATCCATATTGAAGGCTATAATGTTTAACCTTCTGCAGCAAGTGCTTCAAGCCTTCCTCACTTCCACTAATCCTCCACCTTTCCAAGCATGATGTCCTCCAAGGACTAACTTCTCCTAAGAGCATGCCCAAAGTATGTGAGACAAAGTTTTATCATTCTTGCCTCCAAGGAGCACTCTGGCCGCACCTTCTCCAAGACATAGCTGTTTTTTCTTTTTGACAGTCACTGAGATATTTGGCACTTTTCTCCACCACCACAGTTCAAAGGCATCAATTCTTCTTTTGTCATCCTTATTCATTGTCCAGCTTTTCAGAGAACTAGCAAGTGATTGAAAAGACCATAGCCTGAATCAGGCACACGTTACTCCTCAAATGGACATCATTGTTCATTGGTAACTTGGAGAAGTCCCTGACTGCAGACTTTCCCAGTACAGTATGTCTCCTGATCTCCTGATGCCCAGTACCAAGGGTGTGGATGTAAGAAAGATGAAATCATTGATAGTTTCAGTCTTTCTTCAGTCTCCCATGATCTTACCTATTGGTCCACTGATAACAGCTTTTGTTTTCTGATTTTGAGATAAAATCCTTATTGAAGGCCGCAGTGTTTAAATTCGTACAGCGAGCACTTCAAGTCCCGCTCACTTTGAGCAAGCCAGGTTGTTTCATCTGAATAATAGAGATCGTTGAGGAGTTGAAGCCACAGCTTCTTCTTAGAAATTTGCTCAGCATACATATTGAATAGGTACGGACAGAGAATTCAACCCTGGCACAAACCTTTCTGAATTTTAAACCACATCGCCTTCTCTTGCTCTGTTCGTGCAGCAGCCTCTTTGTCTGAAGGTAGAGCTTTCACATGAGCGCAGTTAAGATTTCTGGTACTCCCAGGCTTCTCAAAGTTAGTAACAATTTACACAGACAAATAAATCCTTTTGTATAAAAGTTCATAAAGCACAAATAGACATTCCTTTGGTATTCTTTGCTTCCAGCCAGGATCCATCTGAAATCAGCTATGATAACCCTGGTGCCACAGACTCTTCTAAATCCTACTTGGACTTTCGGCAGTCTCTGTGTATGTTCTGTCCTTGCAGTTTTCATAATCTTTCACAGTATTTTGTTTGCGTGTGATAGTCTATTGTTTTATAATTTGCACAATCTTTTAAATCGCTTTTCTTAGGAATGGGAACAAATACAGACCTCTTCCAGGCAGTCGTCCAGATATCTGTCCTTCATATTTCCTGATGGAGACTGGTCAGCATGTCCAGGGCTGCATCTGTTAATTGAAACATGTCATTTGGTATCCTGTTGATTTCCTGAGGGCTTATTTTTTGCCAGTGCCTTCAAAGCAGCTTGAACTACTTCCTTCATTACCATTGGCTCTTAATCATATAGCTGTTGTTTTTGTTGTCGTTAAGTGCCCTTGAGTCACAGATGACTCATAGCAACCCTATGAACGAAAAAGCTGAACACTTGTATAACTTGGCTTGTTTCTCCCCATTCATAGAGTTTCCGGAGGCAGTGGCATTTTGGAAGTGGATACCGCTCCTGCTTCCAAGCTTGTTTTAATCAGGAAGCTCCACCCAACACTGTCCACCGTGGATAACCATTATCACGTTTGACACATTAGTGTCACAGTGTTTAGAATCACAGCACATAAACAGACCAGTGGTACTTCCTGAAATATTTCTGTGTTGGCCACTTCTTTTTGGTACAGTGAATCTGTCCATTCATTCCCTCCATCTTCTTTTGATGCTTCCTGGATTATTCAACATTTTACCCGTAGTATTCTTCGGTATTGCAACTCGAGGTTTGTATTTTTCAGTTCTTTCAACTTGAGAAATGTCAAGCGAGTCCTTCCGTTTTATTCTTCAATTCCAGCTCTCTCTGTGCATCCGTTATTGACACTATGACTGCCACAGTGGGCTCTTGTGGTCAGGAAGTTTGAAGATGGCACAGGATAGGATAGGGTTCACATCTTTTGTTCTTAGGGTCTCTCTGAGTTGTTCTTGACGACACCTACCGGCAGCAATCAGAAGACAGTGCAGTCTGGTCGGCCCGTGTCGGGAGCCTGTGCTTGGCTGCTGGCTGACAGGACCGTGTGCGCTCAGGACGGCTTGCCTGGGCGTCTTCCTGTGATTGTAGCCCCAGCAAACTCTGGCAGGGAATTGACTTGATGGCAGTAAGAAAAAGTGTTTGCATTTAGGCATCCTGTGATTTCCTTCTGAGATGAGCAAGAAGACAGTGTGATCTGCTCCTTGTGGGGTTGTCCTGGAGGTTTTACTCAGTGCAGTAAGTAAAGGGAAAAGGGATTCAGGTTAGAGGGTAAGAAGGTCATGATTGTCCCTCTGCACATGACCTGCTTGGAGGTGTGGAGCATGGCTGGAATTGACAGGAATCTGATGCAGTGGTTGAGGTGGTGTGGTAGGGAGGATGGTGAGGCCAGAGCAGCATCGCAGTAAGGCGGCGACAGACACACAAGTGGTTGTGACGGGTCAGGGGCCGCCCTATGACATTAGTGTAGTCTTGTCAGCAGTCGATGCCAGAACTTCCCCACCCACACTTGTACCCAGACAAGAAGATTGACTCCACGGCTAACCCAACACGAAACCCAGAAACACGAAGCTGGGAGCTCTGGAAGCAGTGAGGGGACCTGTGAGCTGGCTGGGGCTGGGGAGAGAGTCTAAGTGTGACACTCAGAGCAGGGGACGAAAAAGAAAGTTTGATAAGATAAAATTTTATTAAACTTCAGAGCTTTTCTCTTGAAGGCAGTGTTTGACAATGGGAAAAGAACCCATATTTAGCAAGAGAACACTTTGCCATTCTTGTTGGATCTGGAATAACGTATAAAACGGCTCTCAGAACGCAGTAAAAAGGAAGACTTGCTGACATAACTGTGCAGAAGAGGAATAGAGACTTCAGGCAAGCGGGCAGGTGATCTTGAGAAGGGTGCTCCGTATCCAGGGCCGGTGTAGCCTGCAGGGTGGTGTCACACCATCCCCATCAGCAGACCACGTGGCAGTGAGTACGCTGAACTTGGAGTAGAACCACGCTCCGAAGGAAGTCCACAGAGGAGTCTGTCAGCGGGAGACCAGCAGACCCTCCTCCTCGGCTCTCTGGGTGGACTTGAGACCACCCACATTTTGGTTAATCGTAAAGCTGCTTATAGTTTGATCAATTTTGGGGTGACCCAGACACTGCACCCCTGTGGAGGCGGTTTTCAGGTCCTGTGTCCACCAGAGCTCTTTGTTTAAGCAGAATCCAAGCCACAGAGCAGGAAGGGGCCCGAGCACTTGGCTGACTGCCGGCTTGGCCTGGAGAACTGCGTGGGGGAACCACGCACGCCCACTCATGTCTGTCGCCTTTGTGCTGCCGCAGCCGAGTTGAGTAGTTGAGACCCAGATCACATGGGCCCCAAAGCTGGAAACTTCCCTACCAGGAGTGTGCTACTAGCCAGAGGCAAGAAGGTGGAACCCACCAGCTGCTGTTCAGAAGAAAATACGCTGTTTCCTCCCGTGCAATTTACAGCCTCTCAAATCCCCTGGGAGTCAGCTGTGGATCATTTGCGACTGGACCACGTAGAGTGACGGGCTTCAGCCCAAGGCTGTAATATTGGCCGAAGCAGATTGCCCTGTCTCTGTCCTGCCTGCTGGGCTCCTTCGTGCTCCCTCAGCACTGACAGCTGTGTGTGGCGCCAGGCCGCGTGGTTTGTGTCCACAGCAGTGTCCACAGCAGAGGCTGACCTGTATCTTAGCACAGTGACCCTCGGACGGCTGTGGTTAATTGGTCTTTAGAGGTCAGACAGTTGTCATGAAAGGTCAGGCAGCTCTTCTGTCTGACCTTTCAAATTGTCTGGGCTTGGTGATATTGATGGCTATGAGCAACACGAAATATTTTGGTTTTTCTCCCCTCAGCTCAGGCAGTACAGACAGTGAGGAGAGCACAGACTCAGAAGAGGAAGATGGAGCCAAGCAAGACCTCTTTGAATCCAGTAGTGCCAATGCCGAAGATAAAATGGAGGTAGACTTGAATGAACGTAAGTCCTCTTCTGTCTCGTGATGGGAACTTGCAGGACACATTTGGGTCTGCAGGAAGTGAAGCTCAAGTGTACGCTCCAGTCTGGGCCTCACATGGAAGGGCGGGACGTTTATCACGTGCTGTTGGCAGGGAATGGGGACTAGACCGTGGGCTGCCAGAGAGCAGGCAAACCTGTCTTTGAAGAAATGTGAGCAGGAGACTTGAGAAGTGAGGAGGATGAATTTTATCACAGGGGATCAGTGCATGGCAAGGGGAGCCTGGCTTGGTGAGGGGGAGAGGAGAGCGGTGTGAAAGGGAAGGTCCCCAGGGAGATATGCCTGCGACGTGGCTGCAGCCTCGTCTCAGCAGACCGGGGGGGCGTGGCTGACCGAGGAGACGTGGCTGCGGCGTGGTCTCAGACAGCAGACCGGGGGGACGTGGCTGACCGAGGAGACGTGGCTGTGGCCTGGTCCAAGGGGACAGCACAGGATCTGCCAGAGCTGCTGCTGTTGTACGTGGGGTCTGTGTGTCAGAACCGCCTCCATGACGCCTGACAGCACCTTCCCTGGGGCGTGAGTTTTAAGGACCAGACCCGAGGAGAGGAGTAAGGCGATGGAGCATTGTTGTGTGGACACAGGTCCGCTGGGGGGCTGCTGCTCTGGAGACGGGTGCTCCGGCAGGATGGGGACAGAAGACCGCGGGAGGGTCATGAGTGGAATAAACGGCAGCGGGTTGCTTCCTGGCTGTTTTGTAAAACTCGAATCCTGAGGGTCCGAGCTCTGTGCTTCTGCTCCTCTGCTTGCCAGGACCACTCAAGTTAGCTGGCCCTTTAAAATCACTGCTAACTTGGAAAAGTTCAGAAACATCTGAGAAAGAGTTTTGTGGGTTGGCATTGGGGCTTCCTATCCTCCAAAGGTCTGTGTGGGTCACACTTCTCACCTGGGTGCCCACCCAGACCTAGGCCTCAGTGGAGCCACACTTGCAGAGGAGGGGACCAAGGAAAGCAGAGCAGAGTCCCCTGACTCGTCCTCGGGGCACATCCGCGTTTCTTCAATCCCCATCTTGTCTGCCCTGCCCAGTGGAAAAGCAGGGGTTTTCAATTTAGGGCCACAGGGCAGAGCACTGGGCATGTCAGGAGGACCAGGTCAGCACAGTCGTCCATGGAAACCCAGGACGCTGAGGAAGAGAGCCAGCCCAGGATTTGATTTAAAAAATCATGTCTGGAGAATGTCACTGACGGTGACAGTGTGGGAACTGGGTTAGCAAACACTGGGGCCAGGGTCCCCCAGGACGCCGGGATTGTATATACACCCTGACACGGGCTGGCATCACCACATGGGTGCCGTGGACTTTTGTCCAGAATCACTGCAGCTTTGAGGTCAAGGTAGCTGGTGCCATGGCAAATGTGTGGAGTCCTGCCACCCTGCCATTGTGACCTGGATAAGGGGCGTGGGCACAAGGAGAGAGCAGGAGTATCTCATGATGAGGTCACGCCACCAGCACTCCCTCTAGGTTTGGTGTGACAAGAGTCCCCACACCTCTCCTGCCCCTTGAGGAGACTTTTTTGTGGGCAGATCTCCAGAGGCTCTTGTGTAGCCAGGAGGTGTGCAGTTCTGACTTTGAGGGTCTCTGCCATCTCCACCAGCCCCTGTGGCTGCCTTTAGAAGATTTGTGGGCAGTTTAGACGTTTCCAGAGTACTGAGGTTCTGGAGGGCCCATCAGGAGGAGTCCTAAGTGCTGACAAGCTCATTAACATGGACCCCCTCACTGGGGAGCGGAGGCCCCGTTCCAGAGCTTTGCATGTGACGGGCAGGCAGACCTCCCTGTCAAGGAGCCCTCTCCTAGTTCTTGGAGGAACCTCACTGTACACAGCGTGGTGGGCGGGGAGACAGCTCTGCTGAGTCCTCATTGAGGGTCACCTTGTGGGCGCACTTGCCACAGCCCACCTGGCCCAGAGCGGATCGGAGACAACTCTGTGAGATGTGTAGGCAGCAGGGGGGCGATGGGTTGCGGCCACGTTGAAACATGCCCTGCAGGTGTGGTCGCACGGAGTCCCGGTCAGTACGGGAAGCATTGAGGGTCCTTTCCAGGTTACTGCATCTGAATAGACAACATACTAGAGTTTTAAATACATTTAGATGACATATTATTTTAAAACGCATTGTTTTCGTTACGGAGTAATATTAAGGTTTACAGAAAAGTGGCAACAATAGTGTCGCCTTTTCCTGTATGCCCTTCCTGCCCTTTCCCCTGGGTTCAGATTACCACATGCGGTACCTTTGTCCAAAGGAAAGAAACCACATGGACACACTCTTTTTTGCCCCATGCTGAGGCATCTTGAAAGTATTAACAAGCAAAGCTATGACGTTAAAGGCTTAAGGTGAGCAGGGCCCGAGCCACGGGATTTTCTAGCACTGCTGCGCCCACACAGACTGGGTGACGGGTAAGAAGACTCATTGCCCTCGAGTGACGTGGCTGGAGTACTGACTGGTCCATGGCCTGCCAGATGGACAGACCTACCTTGGAGTGGGTGTGGCCTGGATGTGCCTTAGGAACAAGATGGTGAGACTTTGTCTCACAGACTCTGGCCTGTCACTGGGGGGACCGTCCCTGGAGAGGAAGAAGTGGAGGTCAGCAGAACGGAGGAAGTCACTCAGGATGGACCGTGACACAGGCCACGTCAGCGAGCTTGTGGTGCAGCCGGTGTGAGGGCGGGGCAGGGCCAGTGGCGAGCGATTCTGTGGTGCGTGGAGTCCCTGAATCCGATGCAGCTCATCTCAGTGATGCCTAAGGAAGCACTCGCCCCAGCCGGCCGAGTCCTCGTGTGTGGCTGTCTTCCTGCGTGCTATCCTGTTGATGGGGCTGTGTGCTCAGAGACATCATGTGGGCTTGGAAGGGGCTGTTGTCATGTGTGTGCTGTTTCCACGGTCACAGCAAAGCACTGAATCCTTCCCCCACATCCCCCTAGTGTAGGCTTTTGATTTACGACTGATAGGCTATTTCTCACAAATAACCTGTATCCTGTGAAATGCCTGAAAACATTCCATTAAAATTCCTCTCTCTCCTCAGCACCCGGCTGGTCAGCCAACTTTGATGTCCCCATGGAGACAACCCATGGTGCTCCCCTCGACTCGGTGGGCTCCGACGTCTGGAGCACGGAGGAGCCGATGCCGGCCAAGCAGACAGGCTGGGCTTCGTTCTCGGAGTTCACGTCTTCCCTGAGGTGAGCGGTCGGCCCGATCTCTGCCCTCCTCGCTGGAGAGTGGGCCGAGGGGTGTGGTCAGCGCTGGCCTGAGCTCAGTGTGCCCCTGAGCCTGGGGGGGACCCACATCTCCACAGGAGGCCATCACGTCCTCCTCCCTTGAGTCCCAGGTGAATGGGGACATTTTGCAGTTGTCAGTCTCCTGGGACGATGTCCCAGAACTGCACTGGACATACTACTGCTCCTCCGGCTCTGCAGGGGGAAGCCCGAGGGGGTTGTGCGTGCAGGGAGACTGTCCACAGATGAGGAAGACACGGGTCTTGCTAGTCCTTGCTCTTTGTGCTGTCGGCAGAGAGTCAGTGAAGAGGCCGACCCTCAACGATACAGACGTGCAGCAGCGGCGAGCTTGGGCACTGAGGGGTGAGGGTGGCAGGGCCTGCGTGGTCCTCGTCCCCTGTCCGTGGGATTGATGTGGCTCAGGCCTGGCTGGACGGGGAAAACAGGTCCCTTCCTCTTTCTCGGCTGCTTTCAGTGTTAGGGTTTGTTAGATGTACTCAACATGTTGCCTGTCCGCCGAAACTCCCGTGTCTGGCCCACACTGGACTTTATTGCTTTTCCTGTGCTAACAAGTGCTGTGTGTGAGCAGTGATCCGTGGCAGGGAGGCAGGCAGACCCCCTGGGAGCCAGCTGGGGTGTGGGCTCCAGAGAGGTCAGGTGGAGCCAATGCAAAGGCACACAGTTTGATTCCACCACCTGCTCCGTGCAGTCTCCTGTGTGATTTACCCCTTCTGAAAACCCACCGGAGGGTCCCCTTATCTTTTCTGTCTCTGACTGGCTAGAGAGAGCCTGTGGCCCCCAAGACTGAGGTAGAGCAGCTCTCCTCCCCTCACTCCTCACACGAGAGGCGGTGGGGGTATTGGGGGAGTGTTGCAGACACACGCGTTTGCCCGCGGTGCCCTTTGGTGTCCTCTGTGCCCCCTGCAGCCTCGCTCGGCAGGGCCGGCTCTGCAGGGAGTTTGAGTCAGCGAGAGGTTTGTGGGAGAAGAGTCGGTGTGGTGGGTAAAGTCAGACGTCCCCTGTCTGCTGGCCGCCTGGGAGCTGGTGTTCACAGAGGGATAAGGGGTGTTCCTCCGACGCTTCCCGTTTCTGGGGGCAGGCGTTTCCTCACCCCATACTCGCGGGCTCCCCGTCACCATCTCCTCGGAGGTTAATTTGCTGTTGGAGTGTGTAGGAGATGAGGTCTCCCTATGGAACACAAAGGATTTTCAAAGATATTGTGTGAATGGTGGTTCCCTCTGCTGACCTCTGATTCTGTGTCTCCTAAAAGTACCAAAGACACGCTGAGGAGTAACTCTCCCGTGGAGATGGAGACCAGCGCTGAGCCCCTGGACCCGCTGACCAGCAGTGCGGCTGCCCTCACAGCACAGCCACAAGGTACGTGAGGTCCAAGAGCTGCTGGCAGACCTGCCAGGCTGTGTGTGGGGAGGCTCGAGCTTGGGCTTTAGACGTCATTTCTCTGGGAAGCTGGCTGTGTCTGCCAGCAACTTAACAGAACCACGCTGTCTCTGAGGCTTGGGACTGAAAGGGGCCAGGAGAACGAGACGGTGGGGCTGCTGTCCCAAGGCACCGATGAGGAGGTGCTGGATGCAGAGCCTCTGCCCATTGACTCTGAGGAGCAGGGCTTCAGAATGCGCAGACAGGGAGGAAACCTGCCTCACCCCGGCCCAGTAAGACCAGAAATAGACTAAGCTAGCAGCCAGCACTTGGCCCTCACCGAGCCCTGTGTTTGAGTGTATCTGAGTGTTTTCACATTTAGAGGGGTGTGTTCATTAGTCACCTTCAGAACGTTCACCTACACTCCCTCTTTGGCCCACAGCCATTGTGACCAGGAGTGTCAGTGCATGGGTTTGATTAAAAACTGGAGTGAGTGGAGGAGGGCAGGGCCAGTGAGGAGGGAGCATAAAGTCTGGAGAAGGTGCCCCCTCCCCCACCATGCTGCACACAGGGACAGCCGGCATGACCTGCAGGTCACGAGAAAGTCAGCATCAGAATTAGAGACAAAATTCTGAAAAATCTGATGCAACATATGCCTTCTCATTAAAAATACAGCCCTAGTTATCAGTTACAGGTTCATTCCATTCTGTCCACCACTCCTCACTGCGTAGGAACACTGGGATTGGAGCCCTGTTGTTCTGACTACAGGGACCAAGCTTATAGACAGTAGCTCCATATGATGCCTGTTACAGAATAAATAATCCATTACAAAGCCGCAAGAAAAGAATAAAAGTAAACGATAGGATGTCACTGAGGGGAAGTGGAAGGGGAAGAGGGCACGGCGTGGTTGAGGGGCGCACTGGAGGGCCGCATTTCCCTTCCTTCTTGGGCGCCCAGTGTAGCCGGGTGGCTGTGGAGAGAGGGTTGAACTCCTCCCCGGCAGCTGTGTGTCTTTCCAGGGCCGGGCAGCGTGGCCATGGAAGCCAGCTCTGACGGGGAGGATGACACCGAGAGTCCAGACAAGGTAACTGAGACAGTGATGAATGGCGGCATGAAGGAAACGCTCAGCCTCACTGTAGATGCCAAGACAGAAACGGCGGTCTTCAAAAGGTAACCAGGGCCGAGGCCTCCGGCGCGTCCGGTGCTGGGGAGGCTGGTGGGGAGGAGTCACGGGGCAGGAGCTGCTCGTCTGCCGCGGCCACAGGGGCACCAGCCGGGCAGTGGCGCTCCAGTGACTGAGGGGGAGTTAGGGCGCCTTGCGCTTTGTGTTTGGAAGTCCAGGGAAGTCTCTCTACTCATAAGTAGAATAAAAATGTCCAGCCAGCACTCTTCTCACCCACTACCATTGAGTGCATTCCTGCTCACGGTGACCCTGCCTGAGCCGACAGACGTGAGAACCAGCACGTCACGGTCCAGGCGTCAAGCGCTCAGATCCAGAAGTTTCGAAGCAGGCTCGGGATGCAGTGATGATGCCATCAGGAATCACGTGCAGAGTGACAGCTTCTAGGAAACAAGCAACCTCCCTTCTGAACTTGGGTCAGGAATGGGTTCTTCAAGGGCATGTTCACAAAGTGAGCCATTGAATGGCACAGGCTCGTGGGCATGTGGGCTCCATCCCTAAACCTGCGGAAACCGCGTGGCCGCCTGGAGACCTCTGCCACCTGTACCTCCACAAGGGGGCGGGAGCTCCTGCAGGCAGCCCCGGCCTGATCCTGAGGCCAGACACCACCACCGGCCACCGGCCGTCAGACGTGATGCAGCCCCTGCTGCACTCACCTCTCTCCAGGCTCAGCAGCTGGTGCTGGCTGCGTGGGGCACAGACAGCTCAGGATGTGGGGTTGGTGAGGGGTGCCAGGCTGTACCTCTGCATCAGGCACGTCTCAGAAGCTCTTCTTCAGCTCTGCCTGGTTCTGGGCCCACAGGCCTCACCTCCGCCCTGCTCAGGCTCAGGAAAACGGTAGAAAGCGCTCTCATGGTAGCCGTGTTACGTGCTCTGGATAGCACCGTGCTGGTCTAAGTAGCTCAGCAAATTGAAGACCCCAACAAATGCCCGAAGACCCCACTCCTCTGGCTGCTTTCTGCCACTAGTACGCTCACCCTGTTGCCTTCTCCTGGGCTCTGTGGCTCCTGGGCCCGTGGCTCTGTTTGGCTGGTGTCCTGCTGTCCTGTCCCGTCCTTCAGCATCACAGCCCTGCCTCCCCCTTCTTGGAGTTTGCCTGCAGGGGTCTCTGATCAGGTGATCAGGTGTGCACTGCCTTGTTCTCCTCGGTGGTGGGAAGGGGCCTCTTTTCCACTTCTGGGGTCACTCATTTGGAGTCTGTCATGATGACAGGACTGACCGGACCCACACATGCCTTCTTCCTGCAACACTGTAACTTACCTTAGTGAGGTTATTAGCAGCATTTGGTTGGCTACACACTGCTCTCCTACGTAACCCCACCCAGTGACGGCCAACACAGCCACATCAGACGGTTCTCTGCACCACATAGTCAAGGTGTAAACGGGTGTCCGTGAGCTGTCTAGCAGCTGTAACCAGTGTTAGCTAGGAGGACACCCTGCAGGGCCACGTGTGGAGGTGTGCGATCTCAGCTGACTTGAGGGAGCTGGGTCAGTGACTCCGTGGTAGATTGGTCAGACCGGCCAGCAGGCCCGCTGGGAGGCCAGCCCACTACAGGAAGAGCAAGACGAGGTCTGGCCTGACCCACACGCTGACTGCGTGGCTGGCACGAGGAAGCAGGCCCTGGGGCTGGTGACACTGTCAAGGGCGAAGGTGGCAGAGAGGTCTGGCCCCGGACAGAGAAGAGATGCTTTTAAAATGCCTCCGTGAGGGCAGGAATGCCACGCAGGTGTGATTGCATCCATGTACGGACTTGCTGGCTGGTGACGTTCCCAGAGAAAAGGAATGGGCTGAGCGAGAGAAGATGCCGTGTTAGTAACTCAGTAGTCGAGTTCTGTAAACCAGTGACGAAAGGCTTGTAAGCAAATGGGTAGTTTAAAGACAAGCAAGGCCAGTAGTGAGTGCGGGAAGAATCTCAGAGCTTGGAAGTGGTTCGCCAGCAGTGTCGGAGACTGTTCACTGCACCCCTCCTGCTGGACAATGATGGTCTTAGAGGACACAGCCTGGGGACAGGCGTGGCCCTGGTGCTGGGCTCCTGGAGCTTTGACCCAGAGTCCTCCAGTCCCTACTAAGGACCTGAGAAACAACTCCCACCCCCAAGTAGACCCTGCAGGGGAGGAGGACAGAAACCGGCACAGGGTGGGGGCATGTGTCCGTGACCCTCTCGGAGCGAGGTGAGGAGAGGATCCTGTGGAGGGGAGTCGCGGCCCTGGGGAGGAGCTGTGCAGTGGGGATGGGGGGCTATCCACGGATCAGTCACGCCTGTGGAATCGACCGGTCAGTAGTGCAGAGGAGGAAACGGCACGAGCTCAGAGGCAAGTGAGGTCAGCAGGAGGAACAATGGCTCGTCCAGTCGGCAAGCCCTTCAACTTTAATGTTCTACTTACAAATTACCTGGAACCTTCAGCTGTGCCAGGAATCATCTTAAATTTAAGGTTTTTGAGTAAAACCTAGAAAGAGAACACCTGGCTGCACTTGGTACTGCCTTCATTGAGCAGAAATGTGAGAGTGACCGGACAGGCCACGTCTCCGTTTCAGCCGTGGATAGAGATGAGGGTGCATCCCTTCCCCCACCCATCTGCCCAGAGCCACCGAGGGGACCGACCCTGGTGGCCGCGGGGCGCCGCCTTTTCCTGAGCCCCTTCATCCCACACACGCTGAGGACCACTTCCTGCTCCCGACAGCGGCGCCCTCCTCCCGAGGCAGCGGCCAGCACGGGTTGGGGCTGGCCCACCACTGAGGTGGGCGTGGCCCTGCCAGCAGAACGCTTTAACTGAGACTCATTCCTTCAAACAGGTTCATTTGACACCTCCCGAGCCTGCGGCTTGGCTAGTGCGCCATCGCGGGCGCACTGCCCCGCCCCGCACTTGTAGGAGTATTCTGAAACTCTTGTCCATTTCTCTTTCTGTTTTGCACACTTGGCTTCAGAGTGTTGAAGTCCTGCCGGTATGTGCGGTCCCCGGGCCTCCGACCCCGCTGCATCACACCGTCCCTCGGGCCCCCACCATCTGGCCCCCGTCTGTGTCTGTGCTTGTCCCCAAGCATGCTCCCTGAGGGCCCTGACTCACAGCAGTCATGATTCGCGCCATCTGCATGTGACCCTGTCCTGCCAGCGCCCCCCGCACGCCTCATGTCCCTGCCGCTCTCTCTCTGCAGTGAGGACGGAAAACTGTCTACCTCTCAAGACGCTGCTTGTAAATACGTGGTGGAGGACAGTCCCGAGGTGCCGGAGACCAAGTCCGCAGCCCCCCAGCCTGCCAGCAGTTCCCCAGAGCAGAGGTAACGGACAGCTCCCAGCCAGGGTACCCACGGTGGCCGGGCTGGGAATGCCACTTCCCTGTGGGCCTGCGTCCTGAGCTGGTGCTGGAACACAGCATGGAGGGTTGGGAGTCCTGGCTCTGGGCCCCCGCCCCCCTTGAGGGCTGTGAGCTGAGAACCACATTGGTCACAGGCCCATCGGTTCTCCCTGGGCTGTGGCGGCCACGCCTCATCTGGCCCAAGAGTTTGTCCTCACTGAGGAGCGAGCTTTGTCTGCTCAGATGACACTCGAGGGCTACCCTGAGGCCCTTGATGGCGAAGCAGTCCTGGGTGGTTAGCCCTTTTACAGGCGTCGACAGGGAGCTCAGCGGAGTGCTGGGTGAACTTGCTTCTGCCTGCTCCTGTGACCATGATCTTTGGATGCCGACTTCCCTGACCTCTGTCAGCTTCTTCTAAACCTTATGCCCTGTCCCCTTAGAGCTCGGCCCTGCTTGTAGCCACCACCTGGCACCTCCTGCCTTCCCCAGAGACTCACCAGGAGCTCGGGTAGGGGTGTTGGAAATAAGATGAGACACGGCCTGTCCTGTCGTGTTGACCGGCGCTTCACTGGGTGGAGATGCTTGTTCAGGAATCCTGGTTTTCTCCTGGGGTCCTTGTTTCAGTCCTGCCCTGTTCTGGACCTTGGCTTCCCTCCCTGGCAGTGGAACCCTCTGGGACTCGGTTGTTTGTGGACCTGCTGTGTGTTAATCAGAGTGAGCACAGAGCTCCGGGAGCCTCTGGCAGCAACAGGTAGTGGTGCGAGGGTGTGCGTGGCCCACTCGCTGAGGCTCGGGCTCAGTGCTTGTAGTTGCCAGGGGAGCAGGGGCCTTTGTCTGGAGTGAGATGGATCTGTGTGCATCGGACACTGGCGAGGGCCGCTCTGCGCTGGGTGCTGGAGACGCCGCTGAGCCCCTCTCCTCCAAACACAGCTCTATGCCAGGGTCTCACCTTTCTGTGTCTCCCTCTCAGGACTGACCAGCCAAGCATGCCAGGGGACACGTCGGTCAATGGCCCTGTATGATGAACAACAGCTGCTGCTGACTGAGGACCGCAGATCGCCACCGCCCAGCACTCCGGAGCGCTCCGCGGAGCCTGCCAGGCCAATCACTGCTGCACTCGCTCTGCAAACGATCAGGGCCAGCAACTTTCTCCTCTGGATCCTAGGACACTGGACAGAGTCCCACGTCCCCACAGGTAGCACGTCGGCGGATACTGAGGATGGCAGTGTATGTTTATATTGTATCGTTCTCAGATCTGGGCGGCCTGTGGGATAGGACCTCGCGGCTGTGTAACAAGAGTAGTGATACTAGAGTTCAAATGGCTGTAAGAATAGTTTTATAAAAGTGAATACACAGATCTATTGTATTTGAAACATAACTATTTGACAGTTATTAGTGTGACCAAAGTATTATTAGGCAGTTTTCATAATTTTTCACCTTGTACAAAATTCGGAACTCCCTCTCCTTGGATCTAGAGGCTGGCGAGGAGCTGTGGGTCACGGGCCCGTCCAGTGTTCACTTGGTTCTTCTCACTCACAAAACAATTTTTGAATAAGAAATCTTGGTGTTCTTTTTATAACCAGTTTTCAATTGGTACCTGTTTTCTGTCTCGTTTTAAAAACGGATCAAAAGTGTCAGTCTGTTGGTAGAGATTCAGTATTTATTGCTATGACTTAGTTGATAAATTGATGTTCTGTAAAGCCATACGTTCTGTTTGTTTGCTTGAAATGACTCTTCCTGCCGGTGAAACACTAGAACCTGGGGAGCGGGTGTGGCTTGCGCTTTAGGTTTTGTTTGTTCTGTTTGGGTAGTTCATCTGCCTTTTTAACCCATTCATCAGCATTTACCTTGTTCATGACGATCACCAGTGAACATTTCAGAGCCGACTGCTGGGCCCCGGCCACCCCACAGGCACTGGCATTGCTGCAGGCCGCTGGCATCGGCGTGCGTCCACTGCGGGCCGTGCTGTCCCCAGCCTCGGGGCTAGCGCCAGCTGTTCCCCCTCTGACCATGCGCACTGCGTGAGGTTCCCCCTCGTAAATTCTGAGCCAGTGCGTTTTTTTAGGACTGGTTTGTGTATATATTATAGTGATTATGGATACTAATTCAATGTAATTTATAATTTTCTATGTCAATATGAAAATCCAGCACAGCCTTGAAGCAATATACGAAAATGGCCCTGTTGTCTGGTGTGAGCGTCCAGTGACTTCACCTCTTGCACTTTTAGATGCAAACCAGTTTTTCATTTCTGTAATAGAAAATTATTCACTTATTTTTACATCGTTTGTTTTTCCTGACCAGTATTTAAAAAACCAAAAGAAGATTCTTAAAAATGGCCAACAATTTTTTTAGAAATAGCATCCCAAGCAGCGTGCCTAAACATTACATTGCATACGGAAATAAAAAAAAAACAAAAATCGCATGTCTGGTGCCTTATTTCTTACTGATTTTCCCTCTAGAAGTGGTGTGGAAACGGCAGCGAGGCGTCCCAGCCAGCCAGGCCCTCTGAAGACAGTGGTGACAGGAGTCGTTCCTGGGTACCCGTTGGGGTGGTTCTCTTGGGGATCCCTGAGGAGAAGTTGTTCTTCAGTGTTCTCGTTGGGAGCCCAGCTTGGCCAGAGTGCAGGCCAGCCTCTGTGGTCTGGGGTCGCCTGGACCCAAGACTGGGCGTGTGTCCCCGCTGGGCCAGCTCCAGTGTGGCCCATGGGCATTAGTCTGGCCTCTCTATCCCACAGGAACCTTTTCTCCTCTGTGTCTAGTAATGGGGCATTTGAGGTTTGTCTTGGGGACTGAATTCTGGTCTTTTTTTCTCTGGCAGGACAAATGTGTCCGGAAGGGTAGAGGTACTTTAGGTTCAGAGTTTAGTTTCTCTTTTGCTTTTTATGTATTGATAACAATGAACTTCAGGACTAGTTTGCAGTGATGTGGACAGGAACAGAGCCTGTATCTTTGTGTCCGTCCTTCCTGGCTCGGGGGAGAGGGGTCTTCACAGCTCTGTGACATTGTGATAGGTGCCTCAGCTCTGCTCTGGCGTCTGCTGCGTCCCCGGGCGAGGGGACCTGGAGTGACCTCAACTCTGTGGCTGCTGAAATGGCCCAGCTGGGACTAAGTGGTCGGGCCTGCAGGTAGCCAGGTGGAGCAGCCCCCGTCCCTGCCCATAGGCTAAGAAAAGCGCGGGTCTGTTTGGAGAGTCAGGGACTTTGGCGTCCCTCAGCATACATAGACGGCCAGACTGGAGCAGGGCTCCGAAGCTGAGGGCTCAGCCAACAGAACTGCCGCAGGGAGGGGCGTCTTCACAGCCGGGGCACAGAGCTTTCTTAGGACACGGGCATCGGTGCGCCCTCTGGCCGCGGGAAACCGTTTTCATCTTTACCTGGCACCGTAGACACAAACGAGAGTGCGGAATCCCTGCAACAGACAAATCCATGAGAAATGCTCCTCCTGCCTTCCGGGACCGAAGGAAGTGGAAATGCTCCCGGGAGGTGTTGGCGGAGCTGCGATGATTTCATGTGGGACAGAATGACTCCGGGTCCTGTGCCCGCTTCGTCCGGGCTGTGTCTGAGGCCGTTTGTAGCTACCGTGTCATCACATCAAGGGTCTTGCTGATGAGCCTCACTGACCCTCTACCAGACGTGATGTCTTCCTCCAGCGACTGACCCTTCTGTGACGCCTAGCCACGTGCACCTCCAAGGCACTGACTGGCTGCACCTCTTCCAAAAAAGTTTGCATTCTTTGGCAGCCCTGCTGTGTTCACTGTTCCACGCTTGAAGAGAGTGGGTGTGCATGGGAGCACACCTGACATTCCTTCCGCTTCTCCCCTCATGGCTTCTGCCAGTTCCAAGGCGCAAGGCCAGGCAGGGAGCGGAGCCCCAGAACTTCCCACACTGACACTGCTGGGGAGACACGGCTAGAGTTAGAGGTAATGAAGGAGGCGAGACATGGGCTGAGAGCCCCGTTCATACTTCTTGAGCCGGACGGGGAAGGTAACAGCAGCTTGGCTGAACTGACGTGCCTGTTCAGAACTGTCCGTGCCGGGGAAGTGCAAGTTGGAGTTTAGGAAACACCAAGGAGGTGGATCCAGCCAGCATCCTGGAGTGTCTGGACACCGCTGACCGGATGATGGGCACTACTGGGTTGCTGTGGACTTGGTGGGCTTGTGTGCCAGGGCAGGACCACCCCGTGGAGTTTTTCTTGGTTTGGGTGTCTACAAGAGCGGATCACCGAGCTTTTCTCTTGTGGAGCAGCTGGTGAATTTGAACCACCAACCTTTCTGTTCACAGCTGAGCCCTTACCATTGAGGCACCCCGCTCACCCGGCTTCATAAAGCCAAGCCTGGTAGAACAGAAAGGTCATAATAAAAAAGTCAAATATTTCCATGAATAATTACTCATGGAAATAATTTTTAGAATAAAATTTTTAGAAATTATAGAATAAATTTTTAAAAAGAGATGTGGAAAAATGAACAATGCAATGTATTTTACCTAATTGACAAGTGTTGGACATGACCTTTTTATGTAAACATAAGAGCTTTATAGGAGATGAATTGACAAGTCAGAAAATGAATACTTGTAACTGAAATACAATAAACATGGGACAAAATTTTTTTTTCATTTCCTATGTGCACTACACCTTTTTTTTTAAAAAAAAAATTTTTACCAAAAAAAAAATTTTTTTTAGCGGTTCTTTTTTTAACAAAATTACTATTTCAATGAAAATTTACAGAGACTTTGGATTTTCATTCATTCATTGTTGCACTTTTCTCTCCTCCCAACCCTCCCCCCTAGTACACTACCCTCTTGGAAAAATAAAAGAAAAATTCTTTCATTGTTTCAATCCCTCCCCCCAGGTTGACTCCACCATACAACCTTCACTCTGGACTCCTGTCATGACAAAATACTTAATAATTTTCCCTCTTAAACAATTTTCTCCCTCATCTGTTTCAATGCAGTATACATTATTGAACCCATCCTTCTCAGTCTCCTCCCACCTCTGAGGTCAGTCCTGCCACAACAGTGGCACCATGCAGTATTTGTCCTTTTGTGACTGAGATACTTCACTCAGCATAATGTCCTCCAGGGTCAACCATTTTGAATAATACGGCATGAGTTCCTTGTTTTTCAGTGCAGTGTGGTATTCCATTGTGTGACTATACCACAGCTTCTCTATCCATTCATTTGTTGATGGGGGGACAGAATTTTATGGTGTTGAGTAAGGCTGTGAGGTACTGTGGAGGTGCCTCTGTCCCCTAACAGAAGACTCCTTGTGTAACAGGGACTCTACCTGGTCCTGGGCCATCCAGTCACTGCTGTGCTTGAATTTGACATTGAACCCTGTGTCAGTCCGTCTCCCTCACTGACCCACTGCTTTACAAATATGATGTCCTTCTCCAGGGTCTGGTCCCTCTTTATATGCCCAGAGTGTGTGAGGCACAGTCTTGGCATGATTGCATTTTAGTATTTATTCATTATTCTGGCAAAGCATGGCACGTTCCATATTCTTTGCCAAAAATACAATTCAAAGGCATCAATTCTCTGGTCTTTCTTATTCATTGTCCAACTTTCATATGCATATGTTGTTGTTAAGTGCTGTGAAGTAGGACTCATAGCAACCCTATGAACAAAAGACTGGAACCCGGTTCTCGGCCGTCGGTTCCTGTGTTCATAGAGTTTCCAGAGCCATGGGGTTTAGGACGTGGATGCCACTCCTGCTTCCAAATCTGAATCTGTCTGTGAGCGCCACCAAACACTGGCCACGGTGGGTAACCTTATGGTGTTTGACCCACCAGTAGCACAGAGTTCAGCATCACAGCAACCCCAAGTTACCTCAGTACAGCAAATTGACAGACCACAGAAAAATGTTCATCCCAAGCATGGCACCAAGCTGAGGACCCTACTGCCTGCCGTCCAAGGCCTGCCCACCTGGTCCTCGTGACTAAATCAAGAGGCTTCCAGCCCATAGCCCGCTTTAGCTAAATCCAGCAAATCCAATCAATTCACACCTGATTGTGAACGAAAAAATGCAATCCATACCTCTCACCCTCACCAAGACCAAGAGAAACCACCTTCCAGAATACAGTCACTTGACACATGAGCCTCCAAGCCGGAGACTTAGGCCCAACGTGATTGAAAATACCATGGATTGGGTACACTTAGTCCTCAAAGAGACACTTTTCTTCCTTG